AAAGTAAGCCAATGGAGATATGTGGAATCCTGCAACAATCCAGCGGATCATGCCTCCAGAGGCTGCACAGTGGAAGCTTTCCTGAAGGCGAATTCCTGGTTATCGGGGCCGGAATTCTTGCTGCGGACTGAGGACACATGGCCTGCCTTTCCAGAAAGTTTCAATCAGTCTCTGGTGAAAGATCCTGAAGCGAAGGAAGCTGTGGTATTTACAGTGGTCACAGAGAACGCAGAGGACGTAGTCCTAAAGTTCATTGATCATTATTCAGATTGGCACCGTCTGAAGCGAGCGGTTGCATGGATGATCAAGCTTAAAAACTCCCTGAAGCTTCTAAGTCAAAAACGAAAGCAGTTTGCATCAGACTTGAAAGCAGGAAGTGATGGTCTTGGAAAGAATGAGACTGTGGAAAGAAGGATGGCTGAATTGAAGGCTTCTTTGAGTGTCAGTCCTCCGTCCTTGGATGACATCGTAGAGGCTGAGTCAGAGATTGTTAGAATCAGCCAGCAGCGTGCATTCTCTAGAGAAATAGCTGCATTGGAAAAAGAGAAAATGGTCTCAAAGAGCAGCCCCCTCTACAGGTTGTCACCTGTCTTGCAGGACAACATCATAAGAGTGGGTGGCAGACTGAATAGAGCCAGTATGCCTGAAGAGTCGAAGTACCCGGCTATCTTGTCAAAGGGTATGCACATTACATCGCTTATCCTTAGAGCTGTTCATAAGGAAGTTGGACACAGTGGTCGCAATTACGTGCTGTCGAAACTAAGGGAAAAGTATTGGCTTCCTAGGCCTCATGCCGTCATAAGAAGCATGCTGTCTCAGTGTGTGATCTGTAGACGCCAGCACGGAACTGCAAGCAGTCAGATTATGGCTGACCTTCCAAAAGACAGAGTCTTACCTGACGAGCCGCCATTTACCAATGTAGGTGTTGATTATTTTGGCCCATTCGAGATCATGAGAGGCCGCACCACATTGAAGAGATACGGAGTGCTGTTTACGTGTCTTGCAGTAAGAGCAGTTAATCTCGAGGTTGCAAGTTCGCTTGATACGGACTCCTGTATTCATGCCCTACGAAGATTTGTTGCTAGAAGAGGTCAAGTCAAAGTGATCAGATCGGACAACGGCACAAACTTCATCGGTGCAGAACGTGAGCTGCGACAGGCAGTTCAGGAGTTGAATAAGGAACAGATTGAAGCTGAAATGGCAAAAAGGAACATTAAGTGGATCTTTAATCCCCCAACAGCGTCCCATCATGGTGGAGTGTGGGAACGCCAGATAAGATCAGTGCGAAAGATTCTGAATTCTGTCGTGAAGCAGCAGACTTTGAATGAGGAGGGGTTGCAAACACTTATGTGTGAGGTTGAGGCTGTCATCAACAGTCGCCCTCTCACGAAAGTGTCGGATGATCCCAATGACTTGGAGACAATTACCCCAAACCATCTTCTTTTGATGAAGACTAAACCTATCATACCTCCAGGTATTTTCAATGCCAAGGATATCTACTCCAGACGCAGATGGCGCCAAGTCCAGTACATGGCAGAGCTATTTTGGAAACGCTGGACCAAGGAGTATTTGCCAGAACTACAGCAAAGGCAAAAGTGGCTGCACCCAAGGCGTAATGTTACAGTTGGTGACATTGTGCTGCTGATTGATGATTCAGCTCCCAGAAGTTCCTGGATCATGGGTCGGGTCGTCGAGACCATCTCGGACAGTAAGGGAAGAGTTCGTCAAGTTCGATTGAAGACCAGCACGAATCTTCTCCTGAGACCAGTCACCAAGCTGTGTCTCCTACTGGAAGCTGATATGTAGCAAATTGTTTGCTGCATGAGACAGTGGTAAAGACTGATCTCCATCGGCGAGTCATGTGCTGGTAACCTCTGACTCCATGTTGTTCCAGTTTACGAAGACATATTGGACATTAATAGAGACTGAACTTTGAACATGCACTTTTGAAACATGATCAAAAGAGTTCCAGACATGAAAACTTTGTAAAAAAAAAAAAAGACTAATAAGACTGTACAAATTTGTTTTCAGCTGATAAGTAAGAAATAGTTTACTGTTAGTATGTTTTAGGAATCACATAGTTTGTGTTTATGGTAATTGTTTGTTTAGTTACAAGACAATTAGGGGCCGGATATGTAAGTGCCAGAATTGACAAGATTGAAATATGTGTAGTACCACTAGTTGCCTCTAGGTGGCAATAGCGATCTTTGTTGTAGGTAATTTCTGAGTTGGAAGGTCTGGCACGTCAGGCACGTCCAGGAAGCAAGCCAGCGGGTGTTTGATGTGACGGAGCTTCACCTTTTCTGACCGCAGTTTTAGGTCTAAGGAATTAAGAACATGGATATCAGTTAAAAGAGTTAGTTTATAAGCATTTTTCATTTTTTGTACCGTTTTATTTTGCATTTTTTGGAGAAAATAAATCTTTTGAGTTTGAAACCAGAAACGCGAGTTGGAACGTGACTTCGTCAGACAACGTGGCTTCACAAACAGTTTAAACACTGATATAACATTAGTGTTCATGTGTTCCTCAGATGCTCATTACATTTCCATTAGCAAGTATGACCAAGAGTCATTTAGTGGAATCCTGATAATGAAATAATAATAAAACATTATTTGGCCTCATGGATTTGCATTGTGAATTGGTCTGAAAACATTCCAATTTCTTAAAATTAGTGAAAAGCTAATTTGATCATATCCCAAATTCTTCCAGATAAACTTTGGTTTTTAAACTCAAAATCCATCTTAAACTGTAATATGTTTTTCAACCATGTTTCCCTTCCTCTTTGTACATAGTAGTTAGTTTAGTTTAGTTCAGTTTTACTAGTCTTAGTTGAGAGTGTTAAACTGAAATATGTTTTACTTGGAGCTGAATGATTTTTGTTAATAAACTCTTATATTTTGAACAGAAATTGTGGTGAATTTATTCCATGTATGTGAAGAATTAACTGTTAGTGCTCGAATCACTCTTTCATTTATTATTCTAACACACAGTTAGTAGGACTGTGTGTCATAAACAGTATATAACAGCCGAAATAATATCTTATTAATTAAGATATTTACCCCCCCACCGGGGACAGTCATGGTTTAGGACTGTGGGAGGAAGCCGGAGTACCCGGAGAGAACCCATGTATGCTCAGGGAGAACATGCAAACTCTGTGCAGAAAGATCCGGGGCCGGGAATCAAATCCAGAACCTTCTTGCTGAAAGGCAGCAGAGCTACCCACTGCCTCACTGAGCAGCCTAGGCAGGAAACAGTCAGAAAATGTTTTTAACTAATTTAAATTGATAGAATCAAACACAACATAGATAAGGGTAATCTTATCGTATCTGACGGCCATCATAAATTGATATATACCCAATTCCTATATATATATATATATATATATATATATATACACTCACCGGCCACTTTATTAGGTACACCTGTCCAACTGCTCGTTAACACTTAATTTCTAAGCAGTCAATCACATGGCAGCAACTCAGTGCATTTAGGCATGTAGACATGGTCAAGACAATCTCCTGCAGTTCAAACCGAGCATCAGTATGGGGAAGAAAGGTGATTTGAGTGACTTTGAACGTGGCATGATTGTTGGCGCCAGAAGGGCTGGTCTGAGTATTTCAGAAACTGCTGATCTACTGGGATTTTCACGCACAACCATCTCTAGGGTTTACAGAGAATGGTCCGAAAAAGAAAAAAACATCCAGTGAGCGGCAGTTCTGTGGGCGGAAATGCCTTGTTGATGCCAGAGGTCAGAGGAGAATGGCCAGACTGGTTGGAGCTGATAGAAGGGCAACAGTGACTCAAATAACCACCCGTTACAACCAAGGTGGGCAGAAGAGCATCTCTGAACGCACAGTACGTGGAACTTTGAGGCAGATGGGCTACAGCAGCAGAAGACCACACCGGGTGCCACTCCTTTCAGCTAAGAACAGGAAACTGAGGCTACAATTTGCACAAGCTCATTGAAATTGGACAATAGAAGATTGGAAAAACGTTGCCTGGTCTGATGAGTCTCGATTTCTGCTGCGACATTCAGATGGTAGGGTCAGAATTTGGCGTCTACAACATGAAAGCATGGATCCATCCTGCCTTGTATCAACGGTTCAGGCTGGTGGTGGTGGTGTCATGGTGTGGGGAATATTTTCTTGGCACTCTTTGGGCCCCTTGGTACCAATTGAGCATCGTTGCAACGCCACAGCCTACCTGAGTATTGTTGCTGACCATGTCTATCTCTTTATGACCACAATGTACCCAACTTCTGATGGCTACTTTCAGCAGGATAATGCGCCATGTCATAAAGCTGGAATCATCTCAGACTGGTTTCTTGAACATGACAATGAGTTCACTGTACTCAAATGGCCTCCACAGTCACCAGATCTCAATCCAATAGAGCATCTTTGGGATGTGGTGGAACGGGAGATTCGCATCATGGATGTGCAGCCGACAAATCTGCGGCAACTGTGTGATGCCATCATGTCAATATGGACCAAACTCCCTGAGGAATGCTTCCAGCACCTTGTTGAATCTATGCCACCAAGAATTGAGGCAGTTCTGAAGGCAAAAGGGGGTCCAACCCGTTACTAGCATGGGGTACCTAATAAAGTGGCCGGTGAGTGTATATTGGAGTAGCTCAGTCTCTTTTTTTTCAGATTTTTGTTTTTTTATTTGTATGTTGAATTGTATGTTATTTGTATGTTTGTTGAAGTATTGTTTCAGCTTTTGTTAACTATCTGCCCCTGGGTGTAAGAAATCAACTGAGGATGGTTGTTATGGTAACTTATCAAAACAAGGTTCTGAAAAAGGAAATGCAAATTGTCTTCTTCTATTGTCAAATGTCTCACTGACCTCCTTGGTTCAAGAAAAAATGCACATATTAGAAAAAATGACTTATCTAGATTTACATTTTTTTCATTTCCAAAGCAATGCTCGAGTATCCGTAGCTCATATTGCTCTGGCATACCTCAATCTCTTAGGTTTGCCTCATTTTTCTGTGATTTAGGGTAAACCAGGGAAGCCTGGGACAGACGGCGCTCCAGGACCAAAAGGATCTCAGGTACAGTTTGATTTATCTCCATGTTCTCCAGTCTGTGAAAAGTGTTCAGTGATCAGCTGCTTTGTTTCTGTTCAATGACTTCAGGGAGAACCTGGAACCAACGGACGTCCAGGAATAGAAGGCCTTCAGGTACGTCGCCATATTGCCATGGGAACCGCTTTACTGCATTTACAAGCGTTTTATGGAAACAAGATTGAGAGCTTTAAAGCTCAGGTAGTTTAAGAGAAATGATGAGATGCAGGAGGCGGCTGCAGAAAACGTTTCATTTCTGAATATTTGATTTATGATGTACAGTTAAACACATTTACATGTTAGCAGATGAGGAGGCATCAATGGCTCCAGCCTTATCAAAATATTACACTTTCTCCTTAGCTGAAGGACGCCGCTCTCATTCCATTCCCAAATGTTTGCTATGTACAGAATGAAGAATATTACTATGTATCCTGACAGAGGAACAGTCTTAATTAGATAAACTACCCGGGAAAACATCAGCTCTGACAAACAATAGGCAGGAATTATTAGGGTTTAACAGATTAATACATCATCAATAACAAACATCCTAACAAACCTAATAATCCCTGTCGCAGTATTGTTATGGTTAATAAACCATGTAAACGCTACAAACTGCTGTAATAAACACAGAATAGATAAAAGAATCAGTAAACATAAAAACCATCTCTGATACCCCTACTGTGACGCATGGCGTCCCTAAAGGCTTAGTGCTCGGCCCACTGCACTTTTCTTTCTTCCTGCCATTTCTCTCTCTGCTCTTCGTTTTTTTTTATATAATCTTTCACTGTTAAGCTGAGGATCTGCAGCTATATGTACCTGTTAACATTGGAAACTGTACTGACATTTCAAAAACATCATATTTTCATTATTATTCATTATTATTGTAATGCCATAAGGAAAAACGAGGTCTCTAAATTATTCATAATGCAGCTGTTTGCTTGGAAATGTGAGCACATCACTCCAGTATCGTCATCTTATGACTGGTTCCAGGTTTGAGCAAATATAGTGAAGTTCTTATTATCATTATGATTATTTTACAGGGAAGGCCTGGTAGCAAAGGAGAAAAGGTATGAATCATAACTTATTTTGTAATTTGTTTTGTATATAACAATAAATGTTGCTGTCTAAGTATATAGCTGATTCTCAAAAAACAACACTGGAATTACATAAAATTCAAATGTTTGAAGATAATTTTTGTGCAGTAATTTCATGTTTTATGTTATTTTAAATCTAAACAAATGATTTAGCATGCATGATCATAGACAGTCACTGCAGCTGAAGAGCAGCCTCACTTCCAGACAGTTTGACTCGGCTCGCTGTGTTGGATAATTATGAACCCAGAGCAGCTGAGGCGTTTTTAATTGTTGGAAACAATGGCAGTAAATTCTAGCCTATGTTTGCTCCCACATCCACTTACCTGGTGCATGTGTTCACTGACTGCCCCCCCAGGGAGAACAAGGCAAGGTTGGAGCTTTCGGTGCAAAAGGACAAAAGGTAGGTTTAACTGTTCAGCTGCAAACAGTGAATCGTTCAGCTTAATGTTTGCTGTTGTGTCAGTTGAAGCTCAGACACTGATTAGATTTTTTCCACAGGGTGTTGCTGGACCGTCTGGCTCGGTGGGCCCTAAAGGAGAGCAGGTGAAGTCTGATTATCACTCAAACTTTGACTCACATTTTTCACCCATGACTGGAAAAAAATATATTTGACAAACCACCTGTTTACTGCCATGACTCTTTAATGTCTCACTCAGGTCAGCTTTGCTGAATAATTAGATGTTTGTAATGCAAAAAGTACTCAGCCTGCTCAAGATGTGATGTTTAGGAAAATGCTCTAGACAAAGACAGGCAGGGGCCCCTCTGAATGGAGAAGACATCAAACAGCCCCATTCTCCAGATAGAGAAATGTTAATAGAATAGACATCCATTATCTGTTCTAGGTTGTGTCCCTCTCTTCTTGTCCCTTTTCTTCTTGTTTTCCTCTCTATGTTTTGTACTCAGCTGACTTTTCATGCTGTCTCTAAAGGAATGAAAGATTTTTTCCAAGCACTAAGCTCACTTAGCTGATTGCTCCTTCCTGTGTTTCCAAAAAGGCCAAAGTAAATAACCCAGTCCTTCTTTTCACTGTAGACAAGCCATGATCTGCTTCTCTGTTCTCCATTTTTCATTTGGATGAAATAATAGCTGCATGAATCATGACAGCAGACAAGATAGAGGAGAGCAGGAGGCGGCGTTACCAATCTACTCGCTCTGGAGAGCAGAGTTCGCTGCTTTTAGACGTTGTCTCCAAAGTCTCCAGTAGCAGAAAAAAGTCTCTAGATTTGGCGCTAGGAGCTTTTTAGAAATCAAAGTGCTAGAGGGGTCTGAAAAGTGGCTAAATATAGCGACTAAAGCGCTAAGTTGGCAACACTGCTCTTTGCATGGTTTGTTTTCAAATGGTTTGCTGCTGTCTGTTTGGACCTTTCTGAACATGTGCAGCAAATGGACTGATCCAATATGGTGGACACTGAAGGGGGAGGGGGGGGGGACACACTTAATATTATCAGCGTTCTGATGGCATAAGTTTGAACTAACAGATTCTGCAGAGTGGGAGAATAGAGATAGAATGAAGCAGAATGATGAAAAAGGGGTCCCTATGTCCTCCAGCAGTCTAAGCCTATAGCAGCAGAACTATAGAGATAGCTCAGGATAACCTGAGCCACTCTAACTAGAAGCTTTATCAAAAAGGAAAGTTTTAAGCCTAGCCTTAAAAGTAGACAGGGTGTCTGCCTCACGGACTAAAACTGGTAGTTGGTTCCACAGGAGAGGAGCCTGAGAACTAAAAGATCTGCCTCCCATTCTACTTTTAGAAGTTCTAGGAACCACTAGTAAACCTGCAGATTGAGAGCGAAGTGCTCTGTTAGGAACATAAGGAACAATCAGATCTCTGATATCAGATGGAGCTTGGCCATTTAAGGCTTTATATGTGAGAAGGAGGATTTTAAATTCTATTCTGGATTTAACAGGAAGCCAATGAAGAGAAGCCAGGATAGGAGAGATATGATCTCTCTTTTTAATTTTCATCAGAACTCTGGCTGCAGCTGAATCTGTTGATGTTTACACTCAGTTGTATGATCTGGTTGAATGATCTCTGTAAAGCTCCTAAAGATGACATGTATTGTGAATTGGTGCTATAGAAATAAACTGAACTGAATTTTACACCCAGTGAAGACATTTTCCATGTCCACAGAAAGCCCAAAAATCATATTATTCAAATTCCTCATTCCGGATGTTAAATGTTTAAGAACATGAGATGAGCACCGGCGCCCTTTGCCATCAGTGAGACAACCACAGACCCACCTGTACACCCAAAGTATCCTGGAGCCGTTCCAAACATAACAAACGGAATGGTTTCCATCAATGTTCCTTGTTCTTAAATAAATGAGAAATGGATTGTTTCTCATAAAGTGTCTCTAGACCATCAGCTTTCAGCGTCCAATGGGTTAAACTCCTCTCTGCCATCAGGAAACAGACACATTTGGTCGTGTGGAGTAATTGAAAGATTCCTGTCCAGCATGTGGGTTACAGACTCTTAATTCATCTCCTGCTCTGCACTTGTGGAATGTGAGATGTGGATTAGGTATTGTCTTGTTCCTAATGTTGCCTTTCTAAAGCAGGGAATCCAAGCTTCCAATGTTTAGTTGGGCTCTTTGGGGTTGACTGTTGTTGATTTGGGCATATTATCCATTCCGCCTCTTTTTAAATGGCTGTTTCCTCTGTCTGTCTCCCTGAAACAACAGGATCTACCGTCAGAGTTCCTCTACATCCAAAGTCAATCTAGTCTGCCTCCAGTTCCCATGGAACTCACTTACATCTGGCGCCAAAGTTTTATTTAGGTTTTTGGTTTAATGTTGATCAGGTTTCAGCAGCCAGCAAGTCTAGCAGAGTCACAGAGGAGATGTAAAGGTTTGGCTTATCTCAGTGCCAACGAGACACAAATTGTTTCTGCTGGCCTGCCCTGATGGATGGAGGTGGGGTTGAAGGTCTGATGCGTTGGATGAAAATCCAAACCTCTATTACCAGGAATATAGTCATATAGTTTAGATATTTAGGCTTTAAAAGCTACTCAAAGAGTAGAGCCCTCCCTGAACACATTATGTCCAAGTCAAGAATTGGACAACTTGTCTTCTCATCCATCGCCTCCCTTCCCTGAACAGAGGTCTGAGTAAAATAAGTATTAACATGTAGGGAGACGGATTTAAAAGTTATCAACAAAGCAGCAGAAAAAAACTATATTTTCTAAAAATTGATTCTTTGAACACCTCCAGATGGTCAGTGGCTTTAAGAACATGTGTCTACAGTGAGGAAAATGAGTTCACCCACTTAGAAATCATAGAGGGTTGCTATGGTTGGAGCATGTCCACTATGGGAGACATTATATGAAAAGAAAATCCAGAAATCATAATATCTGATTTTTAAACTTTATTTATATTATTATTAAACTATCTTATTTATTTGTGTGATCCAGCTGCAAAGAACTATTTGAGCAGCTGTCTCTCAACTAGAATTTCGATCCTCAAAGACCTGTTAGTCAGCCTTTAAATGTGCACCTCCATTTAATCTCCTAAATTAGATGCACCTGTTTGAGGTGGTTAGCTGCATAAAGACACCTGTCCTCTCCACACAATCAGGAAGAATTCAACTACTAACATGTCAGAGTCCAAAGAGCTGTCCAAAGACAACAGAGACTAAATTGTCCACCTCCACAAGGCTGGAAAGGGCTACAGGGAAATACCCAAGCAGCTTGATGAACAAAGCGGCAGATGGCCGCTCACACTGAGCCTGGTTCTGCTGGAGGTTTCTTCCTGTTCAAAGGGAGTTTTTCCTCTCCACTGTCGCTACAAGCATGCTTAGTGTGAGGGATTGCTGAAGAGTCAATGAGTCGATGCAATCAGCTGGTTTTTCTTAGATAGAAAACTTTGAATCAATCTGACTGGATGATCTGGTGAACTGGAAAGTGACCTGAGATGACATGATGTGAATTGGAGCTATAGAAATAAACTGAATAGAGTTGAACAAAGGTCCACTGTTGGAGCAATCATTAGAAAATGGAAGAAGCTAAACATGACGGTCAGTCTCCCTCAGACTGGGGCTCCATGCAGGATCTCACCTGGTGGGGTCTCACTGATCCTAACAAAGGTGAGAAATCAGCCCAGAATTACACAGGAGCTATTCAATGACCCGAAAGGAGCAGGGACCACCGTTTCCATGGTTACTGGTAATACACTAAGACCTCATGGTTTGAAATCATGTTGACATGATTGTCAAGGCCCATTATCCAGTGCCACTGGCCATCTGGATGATCCAGAGGAGTCATGGGAGAAAGCCATGAGACCAAAATAGAACTTTTTGGTCTTAATTCCACTAGCCGGATTTGGAGGAAGAAGAATGATGAGTAACATCCTAAGAGCACCATCCCTACTGGGAAGCATGGGAGTGGTTGCATCATGCTTAGGGGGGGATTTTCTGCACATGGGACAGGGTGACTGCGCTGTATTAAGGAGAGGATGACCGGGGACATGTATTGCCAGATTTTGGGGAACAACCTTCTTCCCTCAGAGCATTGAAGATGGGTGGAGGCTGGGTCTTCCAGCATCACAATGAGCCGAAGCACACAGCCAGGATGACCAAGGTGCGCCTCTGGAAGAAGCAGATCTAGGTTCTGGCGTGGCCTAGCCAGTCTCTAGACCTAAACACAATAGAGCATCTCTGGAGGGAGCTCAAACTCTGTTTGACTGATCTAAAGAACATCTGTGGGGAGGAGTGGGCCAAAATCCCTCCTGCAGTGTGTGCAAACCTGGTGAAAAACTACAGGAAACGTTTAACCTCTGGAACTGCAAACAAAAGCTACTGCAGCAAATATTAACATTGATTTCTCAGGTGTTCAAATACTTTTTTACAGCTGTATCCTACAAAGAAAAAATCCTTTATTTTTTCGTATTATGTCTCCCCCAGTGGACATGCTCCATGCTACCATGACAACTCAGAACTTGCAAAATAGCAGGGTGTTGAAAATGCTAATTTTCCTCATTGTAGACACATTAAAACCAAAACATTAGAAAATGCAATATTTTTTCCACTGCTTTGTTGACAACTTTTAAATCTGTCTCCCTATTCATGCAAAAACAACCTTTTGAAGCCATCATGGCCTTGTCCGGCTACACCAAACATGGGCAATGTGGAGTCAACAAGTCATATCCATGTCATGTATTTGTTCTACCCAGCCACTGAAGTCCAATCTGCACAGGTTAATTCACGGTGAAGATTGGACTCACCTGCTTCAGTGGCTGGGTAGAACAAATACATGACATGGAGATGACTTGTTGACTCCACATTGCCCATGTCTGGGCTACACCACCTCAAACTCACCACTTTGACAGCAAAGAAACAAAGAAACCGAAGTTGGCGGCTTCCTTTAAGGATCTTCTAAGACTCCTTACATCCAGCTGATTTCAGATGCTCTAACCGTACCTTCTCCATTGCTGCCCCAGAGCTGAGGAGTAGCTTACCTACTGATCCATGTTTCCAAGTCCAAGGTGGAGTAGTACCCCTGAAATCCTGCAGATGGCAGTGATGGCTCACTGTATGAGAAAGAAGGAAAGGTGGACAAATCTTTTTTCTTCAAAGGGAATATTTTTAGGGAAGGTTTTGCTCAATCCAGTCTTCAAATCAAAGATCTCATGTTTATCACTGCAGAGGACATGATAAACTGGGACAAGGTTACAAACCAATTCAGAATCTAAAAATGGCTTAAGAAAAGTAAAATAGTCAGTTATTATAGAATCTAATCCTAAAAGGATCATTAGTTTTGTCAGGAAAAAGACAGCTTTCAACATGCAGTTGTGGTTTTCAGTCTTTGTTCCATAATTTTGTTTTTTCAGGGAGCCAGAGGAGCACCAGGAGACCCGGGTCCAGAAGGACCAGCTGGGCCTAAAGTAGGAAACAACTTGTTGATAATCTGAGTTGATCATTTAGTTTGAAGCTGGATTTAAGATTCTGATTTGGGATTTTTAAAGGGTGATCAGGGACTAGGAGGTGTACCTGGACCTCCAGGAGAACCAGGTTCTGGCTTCCCTGGTCCAAAGGTAAGCCCTGGATTCTCTCAGTTTCTGAATTGGGCAGGATGGGGAATATCTCCGACCTGTCATTCACAAGTTCTTTTTTAGGGTGACAAGGGGAACCAGGGGAGACCAGGTCCAGCTGGACCGATGGGTTCTGGTGAGACCGGAGCTCAGGTACACAAACAGCTCACTGAAAGACTGAAGTTATGGAACAAACACAGTTATACGTTTGTCTCTTGCTGAGCTGTTAGAAACTGTGCAAAGATCAAATTTAAACAGAAAAATAAAAAAAGTTTTTTATGTTCTACTACTTTAGGGTCCACCAGGGCCTCCAGGATTACAAGGTCCTCCTGGGTTTCCAGGCGAGGGTCTAATTGGACCCCAGGTAAGTTCTGAAACAATGGTCACAAAACATCTTTCACTCTGCTGTTGATCTAGTTTTACAAAGCAGACTAAGAAAAAGGCTGAAATGCTCCGAGTCTTCAATAAACAAGCTGTGGGTCCGTTTTGACTCGTGGTTTTCTGTGTGGAACAGGGTGAAAGGGGGTACGAGGGGCCCAAAGGCAGCCGTGGACCTCCTGGACTCGGACGAAAAGGCGATAAGGTTTGATTAGCTACAGCAAACAGGCTGCAGCATAAAGCTGGACAGCTGCAGAGTTTAACACCTCTTATGGTTCTGACCCACAGGGAAGCACAGGTGAACCTGGGCTGCCAGGTTTGGCCGGGGCTCCAGGTGAAGGGCTCCAAGGAGAAAAGGCAAGACTAATAAAACAAACATTAAGATCCGGCTAATTTACCCTTTTTTTTATAGTTTTTTTGGGTTCCTATATTTCTTTAAAATAATAATAATACTAATAATTTTCTTTGGCTTCTAGGGGGATCCTGGACCCATCGGCCCCACAGGTCCCAGAGGGCCTCCAGGACTGCTAATAGTTGGACCAAAGGTCGGTGAATGAACTTTATTCAGAGGTTTGTTAGCTAGCTTCTCTATGCTAATAGGAGCAGCTGTGACGCTGAGCGACATCACCTGACCTGCTGACATGTGGTTCACATTGACTTTGCTTATTTCATTGCTTGGTCACAGCAGTTTTCTACAGGTGCCTTCAGGCAGAGCGCGGTGTCGCTAGCCAGCTCATGGATTTATATAGTATCCCAAGCTCCAAAAACTCATTTCAGGGAGATGCTTATCCCCCAACCCCCCGCCCCCCCCGGGGACAACACGCCAGCATCGTGCCCCGTACAAACACACTTAAGGCCAGCAGCTTTTCAATTAACTAACAGTCATTTATTAAACACTAAACAGAACAGGATTGGTCTTTTATTTTCAATACTTTCAATCTTGTAGCCTTGAACTTCGGTTGTGCTTTCTGTTTTCAGCATACAGTGCACCTCGCCACGGTGTCATCATTCCTCACCATGGCCAGTTCTAGACAGGGACTAATAATTAAAAAACAACAAGGTGGTAGCTCCAGTGGTAATGAGATAGGATCCCAGTTTTCATCTGCTCAATGTTTTTTTCTTCACAAAAAAAAAATGCTCTAATTGTTACAGATTTTACAGAGTTTTTCTTGAGTTCTAGCTCAAATTTATAGAAAACAGTAGTTTTAACTTAAATTAAGTCAAAAAATATGTAAAATTCCTAAATTTTAAATGTATATTGACCTCATAAGAAATAGAATTTTAATTTAACCTCATTGAAAATAAATTTCCCTTCATGCAGCTCTCTTTATATATTTGAATCCCTTGCCCTATTTTTTTATTTCATGCTTTTCTGGGCCCCCATGAAAACACGCCGGCCCCCTCCTGGCCCCCTGGTCCATTTGGTCTAGATCCGCCACTGTTCCTCCCCTTCACTAGACGCGGATATACTTTAGTATATTCTGCTGTAAAATTAGTCCTTTATTGTTGTTTTTTACTGGAGGATTGAACCTCTGGCATTTCCCAGGATGCACAGCTTTGAGCGGTAACTAGGTGACTGCCAGAGAGGAACCAGAGAAACTTATGGGACTGATCCAATCAGCTCTCTGATCAACCAGTTGCCTGGAACGCTGGTTGATCAGAGCATCGCTTTGGACAGATACGCTGCACAGGTTTCACCAGCAACCTCCTCCTCACACTCCGCTCTATTGTTGATCCTGCACAATCGCAGTAGTTCTAATCCGCACATGATGCACAAATTATTTCCTGCTCGCTATCACTGGCATTAAGAAAACACCACCTCATATAGTCTAAAATCCGGGATAATTAATCCGACTCACAGGCATCAGTGAACAACTATCTATATCAGGGAGACACCTGGAACTTCCAGGAGACCTGGAATGTCTGGATTTATATAGTATCCCAAAGCAAACCCCGTGGGGAGGCGGCGAGCGGTGAACTTCACACAGTGAAAGCGTTCACTGCCCCGCCCCCACCTGCTGCTAGGTAGGTGGGGCGATTGCTGAAGATGAAACCAGCTGAACCTTTCTATGAAAAGGTTGCCATAGTAGTTAAAGGGTTAAAGGATACAGAGATGAATGTTAAAGGTAGAAATGAGGAATACTCTGCAGAGGTCTTTAGGTGGCTTTTCATTTAGTTCCAGAAGCAGGGGGGCCACCAGGAACTAGGGGCCCCATGAAAGAGTTTGATATTGGGCCCTCAACTCCCCAACCTTAACAGGGCGGCTGCTGGTGGTTCATCTGTTTATAGCATGGAGGAATAAAGGCAGTTATTTAATGTTGCCTGGTCTGGTTGATGAAGTGAAACTCTGGGAGATTTCTGGCTGTTTGGCCTCTGGGTTATTTCTGGGATCTATAAATGCTGGATTAATCCTGGTTTAGTTTTTCTTTAAAAAAAATCTGACCGTCATCCAGACATGGCTCTGGATCAACCAAAGTGGATCTTTTTCTCACAGCTTTGGGGTTTTTCCAAAGACTAGAATATCTCCCAAAAGTTCAAAAGTTGCTCAGAAGGCCTGGTGGGGCCAGCGTACGGCAGCCTCCCTTCTGTCAACGAGCCCCAGGTCAGCGGTGGCTACTATGTAGCTTACCACCATCACTGTGTGTGAATGACTGAATGTAGTCTAAACTGCTTCATAAATAAAGGCCATTTAAATAAGGTCACATGACCTCTGTTATAATCATTGCCGGCACAGGAATACCATGTTATGCATCGCTAACGTCTGCTGGGATGGTGACGTCATCGGCCGTAATTAAAAATGATTCTATCTTAAAAACCAAATCAGCACAAATGACAGTTTTACCTGCTGAAATAAAGCAGCTCTGAAAAAGTAGGAGCTTAATGGAGGATAGTTGATTTTAATTATTTAATTTTTGATCATTTTAAATGCACAAACCTGCACTAAAGAAGCAATAACCATTCAGTCTATTTTTTCCCCCTCAGTGGGGAAGTAGGAGGATCTGAAGCTCCTCCTACTTGATGATGCGGTCCAGGATGTAAACACTGCATCTGAAATGCAGAGCGGTGAAATCACGTTCGATCTGAACCCACCTTTAGTTTTTTTTTATTCAGGCCATTTTTAAACCAGTAATCAAACACAGCATAGTCATTGTCTTCTGCTTATCTGGGGCCGGCTTGTTGGGGCCCGGGTCTCCACCGGGTCTCTGTGGAGAAAACTCATTTCAGCAGCTTTTATCCAGGATCAGTCCTTCAGTTACGATTCAGAGAAGGAGGCTAAACAGACCTTTCAGCTCAGCTCTCTCTTCTCCACAATGGACCAATAGAGCATCCACATTACTAAGGGGTGGAGCTTTAGTCTGAGGTTTCTGCACCAAACTGAATCGGACTCTCTGGTCGTTCCTGCTGCTCCGATCGAGTTCCTAAAGCTGACGCTCAGATAATAAAGTATCTGAATTCTAAGGGAATTTTACATTAAAATAAAAAAGTCTCTAAGAAATGAGGATTTTTAGATGGGAACCAAATGTAATCCTTTTAATTTTGATCCAGAAAGATTCACTTTGCATTTAAGGTTAAAGCAGCAAACAGTCTTAATGAGGATAGAACTAAACCGATTAGATCCGCTGCAGCCTTTTGGATTCAGTATTGTTTTTATTTCTGTCACATTCATTAAATAAAAATATAAAAAGGAAGCAAACCTTAAATATTTTGTGTGCACCATTCACTTTTTTTAAGGCATTTTAGAGTAAGGAATGACCAGATTTAATGGTCTGTTACTGGTATTCTGGTTTCCTTTCCAGGGTGATCAAGGTTTTCCTGGAGAGCCAGGTCTTCAAGGAGAAAGGGGCTCAGGTGAAGCAGGTCCAAAGGTATGTTTAGATGAAACATGATCAGAGGCAAAGGATGGGGAACGCTTCTCCTGATGTTCAGATCTATTAATGAACTTCCAGGGTGAGAATGGACCTGATGGGGCTCCTGGAATACCTGGAATTCCTGGAGAAGATGGAGCAGTTGGACCCAAGGTGACCCTGTGTTTCTTTACGTTTACGTTCCAACCGACTGATATTCAGTTTCAGACAAGTAAAAAAAAAACACGCTGACCTTGTGCCTTATTACGATAAAGGTAAGAAATGTTTTATCACAAAGCAGCTTAATAGGTTTATTAAGAGAGCAACAGTGAGGAAAAGTTAGCCTGTTATAAAAAGATTCAAATGACAATATATACATACCTCTGCTTAGAAGCGGTCTGCGTGAGGCTGATGGATCCAGTCATGGGGATTTTCATCAGTCTTTGATCTTAAATGTTTCCTGCTGAGGTTGAAGGAGGATCAACCTGCAGAATGTAATAGAAGACAAAACAGAAGCTGTTTTAATGAGGAATTAAGATTAAAATGAGAAGAAGTTATTGATAACACAGTAAAAACCAGGCATGGAGACAGGAGGCAAACAGAAGAGTAAACAGTAGGAGAGGAACGAGGAGAAGATCAGGACAACAGGAGAGAGATCCAACATGGTGTCAAACAAGATGAACGAGGATCCAAAACCTGGTCGGCAATGGAGGAAATGATGGAAAACAAAGAATAAAACCATAAAGGAAACCTGAACCGAAGATAAAAACGACCCAAGGAGAAAATTAAGAAGATAATCTAGACACAAAAAACATTAAAAGGTTTAAACAACAAAAAAAAAAACAATAAATGTAAAGCGAAACTGAACTTCTCTGAGGGCTTCTCAGAATGACAGGTTTAGAGTCCAGAGACTGGAACAGGGCCATCTCTGCAGGGAACTGGATTTCATTTAGCATCTAAATTCTATTCAGTTTATTTCTATAGCTCCAATTCACATCATGTCATCTCAGGTCACTTTCCAGTTCACCAGATCATCCAGTTAGATTGATTCAAAGTTTTCTATCTAAGGAAAACCAGCTGATTGCATCGACTCATTGACTCTTCAGCAATCCCTCACACTAAGCATGCTTGTAGCGACAGTGGAGAGGAAAAACTCCCTTTGAACAGGAAGAAACCTCCAGCAGAACCAGGCTCAGTGTGAGCGGCCATCTGCTGAGGCCCACTGGGGTTCAAGGAGACAGAAGCAGACATAGAAAAAGAAGCATAGATACAAAAGGCAACTGTCAACCAGCTCCACAGGCGGCCCCGTCCAGGAAACACACAGCCAGGCAGACGAGCTCCGAGCCAGCTCCCATGTCAGAGGATGAAGAGAGCACAGCGGCGTAGGAAGCGGGGGGGACGGGGGGGACATGTCCCCCCCCAATATAAAAGCCAGGTGGATATGTCCCCCCCAAAAATTGTACCGCAAAATATTAGATTTTGACAATTTTTTAGCTATCGTGCTTTTATTTTGAAGGCGCAGCATAGCGTTACGTCACTGTACTCCCCCTCCCCTCTATGAACTGCTGAGTGTTTGAGCACTCAGAGGGAAACAGCGATACAGAAAGTTAGAAACTTGTTAATGAGGTAAAATGGTCTGTCGGGAATGCTGCTATGAATATTGCTTATTTATAACGTCTTGTTGTCAGTTCACTTTCATATATAGAAACTGAATCTTTTTGGTTTAGGCATCTTAGTCTTGTAGGAAGAGGATTAGAGCCACTGAAAAACGTTAACTGATTTTTAAATATTTTTTTAGTTTAACATTGGTTTAGTTTGACTTTTTTTCTGACTTTTTTTCCCAGATTTCTGACTTTAATCTCAGAATTCTGACTTTTTTCTCAGAAATCTGACAGATGATTAATATTTCTAATCAGTTTACAGTTTTTTTTGGTGGGGGGAGGGGGGACTATACAGATATATAAAAACAAGAAGGTCTACCTAAAAAATAACCAGAATATATGTTTAGAGTAAAGATTGACTACTTGTGTTTACACAAGCACACAATTTCAAATCTGCTGAGCTTGCTGTGCAAGAAAATGTAAAATATACGTATAAAGAAATATAACAGGAAGTACTGCTAAAACATAAACTAAATGTTAAATAATGTAGATATTGGTTTAAAAAATTCTTCAGATTTGGAAATTTGGAAGGAATACATAATTTTGAAATTAATCCACAAATCTGGCAAAAAATAAAAAATAAATAAATAAAAAAGTTGCACCTTTTTACTTGAGGAATTTGTTGAATAACTTCATAATTATGAGTTTAACTAGTTGGAGGTAATGCTACACTTCTCTGCTTCCTGTCCTGCTCATAAAAGGTAAACATTATAAACCCACCATTCATTTTCTACACTATTTGGAAAACACAACACAAATGTAATATAACAAAAGTATGTTTAACAACAAACATGTTAGCATCAAGCCATAGCCATGTCTATTTTAGAGACTAGCTCTCTTGTTTAATGACCCTCTGCTCCTCCATTAATGAGGGGACCCCTCGGGAACGTAAAAAGTTGCCTAATTCTGTCATTTTCCACCAATGTGTCACTGGCTCTCTCAAACAACTCACATCTTTGTCAGTGAAGCTGAGTGCTCCACATCTCTGCCTTCATGGTGCCCATCTACATTAAGATCCAAAATTCTGAGAAAAAAAGTCAGAATTCTGAGATTAAAGTCAGAATTCTGAGAAAAAAAGTCTTAATTCTGAAAATAAAAGTCAGAATTCTGACTTTTTTCCCATATTAAACTGAAATAAAATGTAAAAATCACTTAATTTTTTTTTCTCCAGTGGCCCTAATCCTCTTCCGTAGTCTTGGGCTGATCACTCATCCGATATTTAACTGCTAACTTTCTCTAGACGTTTGCCACGCTAGCCAAAATGTTTTTTTTTTTTTATATATCTCATTTCAGTACAATGCCACCACCAACTAAAAGGCTGAAACAGCAGTAGGACTTACTCAGATTTTTTTTTAAAGAGAAACCTCAGTGTGAGTAACAGTCACCTAACACAACTTGTGTTGAAATTAGCCCGGTCTGGGTGTGCATTTTACGAGGATTTTTTATTTTTTGCATGGTTTTGATTCCCCCGAAATGGACAGATGTTATACCTGCCGCGCTCCTGATCGTTAGTTAACCACAGGGAGAATTAATTCTAATTCTTAGCAGCGGCGGCCGCATTGGTTGTGCAACCACTAATTAACCAACTAATTAACTTCTGCACCTTTATTTCCTCAAACTGCTGGCTCCTCTTTTTAGACTATAAACAGATTAACACAACATTGACAACTCTGTAGTTTTCTCTGTTCTGTACTGCAAATTGGAATTAAAGACGCCATTTCTACCAAAGGTCTGGACAGACTGGCCACCTGTCTAGGGTGGACCCCGCACCAGCACCTCCCGACCCCACTAAGGGACAGAAAATGGAAGGATAGATGGATTTCTACCAAAGATTTAGAATGCGTTTTTGAACCAGATGCTTCAAAGCGCCCTGTCCATAATTCTTCACCACACTGTCAGCTCCCTCTGTCAGTCAACCTATATAAATTCATTTTTGACCATTATTGCAAGTTTGACAAAATAAAACACATCAAACTTTGCACTTGTGTGGCCTACTGAATTGTTTTGATTTTCTAGTGCGTATGCGGACACTAAATATGCCAAGGGCTGAAGCCCTTGAAAGACATCTCCCTTTGCTTAATAAAAGACTCCAGTCATTTTGTTTGGTGATATGCTCACATCTTATGAACAAATGCATTATGTACATTTTAAATGCATTATTTTTGCAAACACATTTATAAAGGAATAAAGTAAAAGATTAAATAGCCTTTTTTTTAAGTAGCGTACTTAAGATATGTTTCTGTTGAATATTTACGAATCTCAGCTTTCCGACATGTGTCCCCCCCAATTATAAACATATTCCTACGCCCTTGAGAGAGCACATCCAGTTAGTCACAGTCAGAGAAACAGGACTACACTGGAAAACAGGCCAAGCTCCAACATCTAGAAACAAAGGTGTTGATGGCAGCAGCACAGCTGATATTTCTCTCCAGGATGGAGTCACAGCCAAACAGGAACAGACCAGATGAAGCTACTTAGAGATGTCCCGATCCAGGTTTTTGCACTTCCGATCCGATACCGATATTGTTTTTGGACTTCCAATCCGATACCGATACTGGCCGATACCAGCCTATCCGAGCATGTATTTAAGTTTAAGTTAAAGTATTTAGCCTTGGTTGTAAGACTCATGTTGAAAAGGGTTTTAGTACTCTTGATAACATCTAGCCAGCTAAATTAGGTGAGATTGAATAAAACACAATGCTTGGTAACAACAAACTTATCTGTTTATTAAGAGATAAACACAAACTGGACAAAATCATGAATAGCAATCTGAAATTGCACAGTGAACAGTAAAACCGTAAACAGTTAAAGGTGCAAGTATTACTGCAAGTTTGAATAAAAATGCAAAACAGGGAAACACTGGCGCAAAATAGTGGAATGGATCGTTTCAATCGGCGAAACTGGAAAATACGGACCGGATTTTTTTTTAAAAAACTGGATCGGCATTTTACATGCTTTGCCGATACGCATTTTTTTGCCAATATCGGCGTCCCGATCCGATAAGTGGATCGGATCGGGACAAGCCTAAATCTACTAAATAAACTGGAATTGGATGTTTTTTTTGTTTTTTGTTTTTTTTAAAGAAACAAAGTCATAGAAAATATGCTGATATTTCCAACGGTAATGAGGGGAAAAAAACAAGTTCATGGAGCATTAAGGGGTTTGCAATTAGATGTACAATTCTATAAAAAAAACAGACATTCATCAGATTTTTCAAATGTCTCAAACACAGTCTAGATCCAAACCTTTACTTTAATCTAAGGTTAAACACGACACGGAATATTAATGGTCAGAAAACAAATATCAGCAAAACAAATGTTGAGAGTTAAGTTTTTAATACAGTTAGAACATTTATAACAACTATAATGAACGAATAACATCCCAGCATGCTCCTGCTTGTATAACTGGTTTTTAAATGACTCCAGGGGGAGAGGGGTTTACCGGGACCACGAGGGCCAGATGGAGATCCGGGCAGAGGCACACCTGGAGAAAAGGTAACTTTTTCATCATGGACGGTAACACTGATGAAAAACTGCTGCAGGAAGTTGGAAAAAGATGAATCATCATTTGTTTCGTTTCCACCGTAGAGCTTTAAAAGGCTGCTTGAATTTTTAACATGAACAAAGTGTTCTTCATTAGAAGACCACCCATAGCTGTCTTTGTCGCTTCTGATGGCGGGTTTGGAGCTACGACCTTTGATGTCTTAGTTGGGTGTTTCTTAGTAGTAGGACACCTGAGCTACACCCACATCCTGTCCGGGTTCTGGATCTCCTTTTAGCCTCTTGATGAATTTGTCCGGCCTCGCTGATAGAAAAGTTCTTTATCTGTTCTTTGTTTGGTGAGATGTTTTCCTTCCAAACAACGTCGGCATACATCCAGGTCACGTTTCCACAGGTTCTTCATTGATGATGTTTGTGTTTGTTGGCCTGTTAACAGGGAGATCGGGGTGAACGAGGCTCCAGGGGACTCTCAGGCCCTCCAGGACCAGTGGGACCTCCAGGAGCAAAGGTATGGGAAAAAAAAAAAGACCCATCTGCGCCGTTACCTTCCTCTGAAGGACCTGGGAATGGGCCTGTGCCAGTATTTATTTATATATATCAATATTTGATAATGCTTTCAAACCATATTTTCTTTTAATTTACAGTGTTTTTATGGTTTAAAGACCTTTTAAAAGGATCACAAAAAATGCCGGAACAACCAGTTAGAACAACAAAAAGTTAGACCTATAAAAAATCTACATTCTACTATTTATTAAATAATCTATGTAAGCTAGACTTACATCGGCTCCGACCGGGAACCAGCGGGTCATTATGAAGACTGATTTCAGGCATTGGTCTTTATGTTTTTGATGTATTTTTCTCTGAGCAACCTGTTCTCCTGCGTTTGGTCCATGTTTGTGGCCAGAATGGGACAAACCACCTGGACATTAGAGGTAAGGGGAGATGATCTGGGGTTCGACAGGAGCAGGAGGAAAACAGAACACTGGCTGAGAGGCCACCAGAACCGGGACGAAGCGGCCGGCTGTGCCCCCCTTCTGGAGCCACGAAATCACAACTTAGGAGGCGGTAGCTTGCCAATGCTAGCTCAGGAAGAGAGCGAAGGAGCACAGTGGTTGATCAGGGAAACCTGTTGGGCAGAGAGAGCGCTGAAGTCTGGGTAGAGGCTACGGCTGGCCAGGGCTAGCTATAGACTAACTGAGAATAACTGGTCTAATACTGATCCTCAGCTGTTCTCCTTCCAGTTTTCTCATAGAGACTCTCCTCGGCCTGCCACAGCCTCTTCCTGCTCCGTGTCCCTGCTGAACTTGTCCAAATGTTTCGCTTTCCACCGTCAGTCCTCCACTGACAGAGCAGCGGAGCAGAAAAGCAGAGGCAGCAGCTGGTCAATGTTTGGGTTGGAGGGAAGAAGAAACGGACGTTTCGGGGCTAAATGGGATGATGATGGCGCTGTGCATGGAGCAGCCTGTTACGTCGGCTCCATACTCTCCTTTACTGCTTTCTCCATCTTAGATTCTCTTTTTGGAATCCCAACTTCTGGGACTATAGTGTTGAGCTTTCTCTCCTACTTCGGCACTTTTTGATGCTGCAATGGGGGACCCCTTTGTCTGCGACTCCAAACCCATTGTTAAGACACGGGACCACCTCCTTTGATGCGCAGCAGCCCTGCTCCCCACCACACTGTGAGACCAGACATCCCTGCAGAAATGAGGAGAAAACGGAGCAGCTGGAGGGGTGGCAGGATAGAGCGGAGGAAAAGATATTTACCATCGGTTGTCATGGGAAACCTAAGAACTTTCCGCAACAGCTTTTAACCTGCTTTCAGAGGAAGTACAGGGACATGAGTATCATGTCCTTTAGCTGGACTTGTCCCGGACTCAGCGGTTTCCCTGGACAACTTTAGTGTCATCCGTGAAGACAGAACTTTGGCAGAGAGTGGATAAAAAAAGAGATGACACCCAAAATAATATTTACATGCTTACAAATCAATACAATTAAAAAAACCTAGGGTCAATCACAAAAACCCATCAAATTTAACACAACTTATCCAAACCTACCTTCCTGATCAATTTGGTGGCAGGAAGTGCTCAAGGTGCGTTTAAACAGCACCTGGAGCACTTCCTGCCACGCCCTGCCCAGGAGCCAAACCAGGAATAAGGTAAATACTTTAACTTAACATATACATAATCAGTGTATGTCTGCTCCCTGATGCTCTATCTCTCCGGTTCTTTTCCCTGAAAAGAGATCACTCAGACAAACTATTTAAATAATACTTCATAACTTCTATGTAATAAATAAACAGGAGACATGACAACAGATATTCTAATCATACTCAGATCAGAGAAATTGCTTGGAGTTACAGAGGGCAGCTGCTCACCTCTGGGCTCGACTCTCAGGAAGTGGCCCCGATTAACAGTTAAAAAGGCATTTTATACATCTCCAATCTGCCACATCATCATATTTTACATCATACATGTTAGCAGATGATTAGACATCCATGGCTCCAGCCTTATCAAAATAGGTCGCCGCTCTCATTCCATTTCCAAATCTTTGCCACGTACAAAATGAAGATTATAACTGTATATCCACACAGAGGAGTTTTCCTAATTAGACTAAAACGTCAGTTCTGATGTGCAACAGGCAGCCCTGTGATAAACTCACACATCTTCAATGATTATTATCAAATGATAATTATACTAACAACCAGCATGGCCGGTCGTTCTGCTTCACTAGAATGCATTTAAAAATGTCCAAACAAAACTATAATAAAGAACCCAAACGACCCAACTATCTGTTCCAACTTAATACCAAATAACACCAAATCAATAATCATATTTCATGGGGTAATGGGACTCCTGGTCCCCATTACAAAGGAGCATCAGACCACTGGGACTCTATGAAGAACGGCCGTCCCTCTGAACATTCATTCTGATCAGAGATGGAGCCCAGAGGCCCATGATCCCTCTGGAGGAACTGCAGAGATCTACAGCTGAGGATGGGACAACATGCTGCACACATCTGGCCTTCATGAAAGGAAGACATTTCTGAAAGATATCATAAAAAGTCTGGTTTAAGGTTTGCCACCTGGGAGAGACAGCAAACATCTGGAAGAAGGAGCTTTGGTCAGATGGAACCAACAATCACACTTTTTGGCAACAATTCAGAGCGTTATCTTTAGTGTAGAAGCAACACAGCTCATCACCCTGAACACACCATCCCCACTGTCAGACATGGTGGTGGCAGCATCATGGTTTGGATCTGCTTTTCTTCAGCAGGGACAGGGAAGATGGATGAAGTTGATGGGAAGATGGATGGAGCCAAACTCAGGAGCATTCTGGAAGAAAACCTGCTGGAGTCTGCAGGAGACCAGAGACTGGGACAGAGATTTATCTTCCAACAAGATGATGATCAGAAACAGAAAGCAGCAGCTAAGATGGAACGGTTAACAGAGAAACACATCCAGGTGTTAGAATGGCCTAGTCAAAGTCCAGACCTGAATCTAACCGAGAATCTGAGGAAAGACCTGAAAGCTGCTTTTCACAAACGCTCTCCATCCAACCTCACCGAGCTCCAGATGTTGAAAACTGATAGAGACAAACGGACCTGCTGCTGTGATCACTGCAGAAACATAGTTTTTCAGTTTTTTATCTGTTCAAGTTTAAAATATCCAATAAATTTCATTCCACTTCATGATTGTGTCCAAATTGTTGTTGATTCACAAACAGATACAATTTTATATCTATAGCTTGAAATCTGGCAAATGTTTGGAAAGTTTAAGGGTTTGAATACTTTCACAACATTCACTGATAGTCTCCAGTAAACTGGTTTGTACTCTTGATATGTGTTATTTTTTCATCTTTTGAATTTGGCATCAAATGGCTGTCTCTTAGTAAAAAACGATTTACTTTAATGTTTTATTGACTCAGGGTGAACCAGGAAGCCCAGGAAGTACCGGCCAACCGGGACCTCCTGGACAAAGCTCTGCTGGAACAAAGGTAAAACACCCAATAAACTATTTTCACATTATTAAAACACTAATTTATTATACATTTTTTTATTCATGTATTAATTTTTAGTAGAAAATTAATTAATAGAGCACATTCAGAACCCTCTTCATATTTCTTTCTCCTTTCCTCACAAGGCTATGCATGAGAATTTGACTTGTATGTTTATGTAGATGAGAATATCATTAGTGACTTTCACCAGAGCTGTTTCATCGTATGATGAGCTCTAAAGTTCAGTTCAGTTTATTTATATGGCGCCAAATTCACAACACATGTCATCTCAAGGCACTTTACAGTTCAACCAGATCATACAGTCAAGTTGATACAAAGTTTTCTATCTAAGGAAAACCAGTTGATTGCATTGACTCATTGACTCAAATACAATCCCCCACACTAAGCATGCTTGTAGCGACAGTGGAGAGGAAAAACTCCCTTTTAACAGGAAGAAACCTCCAGCAGAAACAGGCTCAGTGTGAGCGGCCATCTGCCGAGGCCGACTGGGGTTCAAGGAGACAGAAGCAGAGATACAAAAAGCAGCTGTAAAAGGCGGCCCCGTCCAGGAAACACACAGCCAGGCAGACGAGCTCCAAGGCAGCTCCCATGCCAGAGGACGAAGAGAGCACATCCACTCAGTCACGGCCAGAGAAACAGGACCACACTGGAAAACAGGCCGATCTCCAACATCTATAAACAAGGGTGTTGATAGAAGCAGCACAGCTGATGTTTCTTTCCAGGATGACGTCACAGCCAAACAGGAACAGACGAGGCAAAGCTACTCTGAGGAAAAGCAGAGAGAGCAGAAGGTTAGAGATTGAACTAACAGATTCTGCAGAATAGGAGAACAGAGAGAGAATGAAGCAGAAAGATGAAATGGGGGTCCCTATGTCCTCCAGCAGTCTAAGCCTATAGCAGCATAACTATAGAGATAGCTCAGGATAACCTGAGCCACTCTAACTAGAAGCTTTATCAAAAAGGAAAGTTTTAAGCCTAGCCTTAAAAGTAGACAGGGTGTCTGCCTCACGGACTAAAACTGGTAGTTGGTTCCACAGGAGAGGAGCCTGAGAACTAAAAGATCTGCCTCCCATTCTACTTTTAGAAATTCTAGGAACCACTAGTAAACCTGCAGATTGAGAGCGAAGTGCTCTGTTAGGAACATAAGGAACAATCAGATCTCTGATATAAGATGGAGCTTGGCCATTTAAGGCTTTATATGTGAGAAGGAGGATTTTAAATTCTATTCTTGATTTAACAGGAAGCCAATGAAGAGAAGCCAGGATAGGCGAGATATGATCTCTCTTTTTAATTTTCATCAGAACCCTGGCTGCAGCATTTTGGATCAGCTGAAGGCTTTTAACTACAGTTTGTGGACTTCCTGATAGTAAAGAATTACAATAGTCCAGCCTTGAAGTAACAAATGCATGGAATAGTTTCTCAGCATCACCCCTGGACAGGATATTTCTAATTTTTGCAATGTTCCTCAGATGAAAGAAGGAAATTCTAGAAACCTCCTTGATATGGGATTTAAATGACAGGTCCTGATCAAAAATAACACCAAGATTTTTTACTTTTTTTAAGGCCAGACTGAAACTCTTCAGAGAGTTCATTATTGTGGAAGTGATCGCTTAACCTGACTCCTCCAGATGGATTTGCTCCACATATCCATCTGGAAACCTTCAGTTGAAGTAATTTTAGGAAGGGGCGAAAATACTGGTGAGCTGATTGGCCTATGTTGGTGATAGACGGGCCAAATAAACCAATCAGATCAACGAAGCATATGACGTACTAACAGAGCGACGACGAAAACACAACCACAAGCCAATTGATAGATCAAACTCTTGCAAAAACATCTTTTCCTCTGAGAAAAGCCTCCAGAGCAGTGTTTTGCTCTTCTTTCAGAAATACTTTCAGAAATAATTCCGATAAAACTTGCTCGATAGCCACGCTAACGCTAGTTTCATCGGCTGAAGCCGCCATGTTCTTTAGACTGAACTGTCACGCTTCTCGTTGCGTCACACCTCAACCCGCCTCAAAGCCAACGCTGATTGGACGTTCGTTTGGTGAACGGCTCCAAATTTTCTTCAACGGAGAGTCTCCAGACTGATTAGCGAGTGAAATCTTGAAAGCTCGTGAGACATTCTGATCTCACGAGGCTAGTGATCGCACACTTGTTTGGCAACTACTTTCTCAAGAATTTTAGATGCCAGCAAGGTGGAGGTGGGGTAATGCTATGGGCTGCTATCATCAAAGATGAGCTTGTGGGACATTTTCATGTTGATGATGGAGTCAAGATCAACTCCCAGACCTACTGCCAGTTTCTGGAAGACACCTTCTTCAAACAGCGGTACAAGAAGAAGACGCCATCATTCCAGAAACACCTGATATTCCTGCAGGACGATGCTCCGTCACACGCATCAGAATACACCACAGCGTGGCGGCCAGAAAAAGGCTAAAAGGAGAAAATAATGACATGGCCCCCTTGGTCACCTGATCTGAACCCCATGGAGAACCTGTGGTCCTTCATGAAAGGTGAGATCTACAGGGAGGCTGTGGAGGCTGCTGCACGCCATGAGGATCACACACAGATCAAGACTCTGACAGAATCTATGGATGGAAGGATTTAGAGCGTCATGGTGGAGAAAGGAGGATAGATTGGTCACTGATTTGTTTATTTCTGTTTTTGAAAGTCGCAAATGTTTATTTCTAAATTTTGAGTTATATTGGTTTGCCTGGTAAAAATAAACAAGGGAGATGGGTATATATTTGTTTTTTATAACGTTGCCTAATAATTCATCAAAGTAATATTTATCTGCAGGCACGGAAATCCTCATAAAATGGCCAAATCTAAAATGAAACACATCAACATCCAAAAATATGAAACTTTGATATTAAGGAGTCTTTTGGGTTGATTGAGAACAAAATTGTGGCCCAATAATCAAAATAATCCTCAAAAATACAACTTGCCTAATAATTCTGGACACAGTGTATAGAGATAGGTCAGGATAACCTGAGCCACTCTATCTATAAGCTTTAACAAAAAGGAAAATCTTCTGTCAGCACAAGGTCCAAAGTATGAGGATGAGAATGTGGGGGACTAAGCACATTTTGAACAATGATTTAAAAATTGAGGGGCTGCACTTGTAGCTTCAGGTATTACTTTTTGGTTTACCCATTTTTTTTACACCTTGATCTGATTGGTTAATTTTTAAGTGCTGTTATAATTTTAGGATTTGCTAAATGCAATAGGTTTCCCAGGAACCACTCTAAAGGGGTGTTTTCTATCTTTGTTTGAACTAAACGTTTTTGTGTGATATGCAAGTAGATTTGTTTTTTATTATGTTTAAAATTGTTTTGTTGTTCCTAACAGGGAGATCCTGGCCCTGTCGGACCATCCGGACCAGTTGGAGAACCTGGACAGGGAATAACTGGACCTAAAGTAAAGCGACCACACATTAAAGTCATGTGAAAAACAAACAAAGTCATGTTACATACACTATATTGCCAAAAGTATTTGCTCACCCATCCAAATTATTGGAATCAGGTGTTCCAATCACTTCCATGGCCACAGGTGTATAAATTCAAGCACCTAGGCATGCAGACTGTTTTTACAAACATTTGTGAAAGAATGGGTCGCTCTCAGGAGCTCAGTGAATTCCAGCGTGGAACTGTGATAGGATGCCACCTGTGCAACAAATCCAGTCGTGAAATTTCCTCGCTCCTAAATATTCCACAGTCAACTGTCAGCTGTATTATAAGAAAATGGAAGTGTTTGGGAACGACAGCAACTCAGCCACGAAGTGGTAGGCCACGTAAACTGACGGAGCGGGGTCAGCGGATGCTGACGCGCATAGTGCGAAGAGGTCGCCAACTTTCTGCAGAGTCAATCACTACAGACCTCCAAACTTCATGTGGCCTTCAGATTAGCTCAAGAACAGTGCGCAGAGAGCTTCATGGAATGGGTTTCCATGGTCGAGCAGCTGCATCCAAGCCATACATCACCAAGTGCAATGCAAAGCGTCGGATGCGGTGGTGTAAAGCACGCCGCCACTGGACTCTAGAGCAGTGGAGACGCGTTCTCTGGAGTGACGAATCGCGCTTCTCCATCTGGCAATCTGATGGACGGGTCTGGGTTTGGCGGTTGCTAGGAGAACGGTACTTGTCTGACTGCATTGTGCCAAGTGTAAAGTTTGGTGGAGGGGGGATTATGGTGTGGGGTTGTTTTTCAGGAGCTGGGCTTGGCCCCTTAGTTCCAGTGAAAGGAACTCTGAATGCTTCAGCATCCCAAGACATTTTGGACAATTCCATGCTCCCAACTTTGTGGGAACAGTTTGGAGCTGGCCCCTTCCTCTTCCAACATGACTGTGCACCAGTGCACAAAGCAAGGTCCATAAAGACATGGATGACAGAGTCTGGTGTGGATGAACTTGACTGGCCTGCACAGAGTCCTGACCTCAACCCGATAGAACACATTTGGGATGAATTAGAGCGGAGACTGAGAGCCAGGCCTTCTCGTCCAACATCAGTGTGCAACCTCACAAATGCGCTTCTGGAAGAATGGTCAAAAATTCCCATAAACACACTCCTAAACCTTGTGGACAGCCTTCCCAGAAGAGTTGAAGCTGTTCTAGCTGCAAAGGGTGGACCGACGTCATATTGAACCCTATGGATTAGGAACGGGATGTCACTTAAGCTCATATGTGAGTCAAGGCAGGTGAGCAAATACTTTTGGCAATATAGTGTATGATGTTTATATGAAGGCTATATTTAGATAAAATTAATCTAGTTCCATTCTCAATAAATAAAATAAAATAAAAAGATGCATTTCATTACAGATGATTAAACGTAAAACATTTTCACTTCAAGCTCCAGTGTGTAATTATTACAGGGACGTACTTTCAGAAATGTGATATATTACCAATCCAGACATTATTTATTACAGGCCCCTCTCAAAATATTAGCATATTGTGATAAAATTCATTATTTTCCATGATGTAATGATAAAACTTGAACATTCATATATTTTAGATTCATTGCACACTAACTGAAATATTTCAGGTCTTTTTTTGTCTTAATATGGATGATTTTGGCATAAAGCTCATGGAAAACCCAAAATTCCTATCTCACAAAATTAGCAATCATGAAAAAGTTCTCTAAAAGAGCTATGCACCTAATCAGCTGAATCAACTAATTAACTCTGATCAAGTTTAATTTGGGTTTTCATGAGCTGTATGCCTAAATCATCCGTATTAAGACTTGGATAATGACATTTGATAATTAAGCTGATTAGCATAGAAAGTTAGTTTTTTTTTTTTATTACATAAGCAACACAAAGTATTGACACCTGTATTTACTGATCTCTGCAGTCATAACGAGGGGAACAGAAGAAGAGACCATGGAAGCAAAGTTTTCACACAGGAAGAACATTAATCATATCTTCTCACCAACAGCTAAAAGCTTCTTGCTTTTTCTAATAACAGGAATCAAATCACCAGAGTTGTGGATTTCTAAAACTCCAGAGCGCCTCAAAAAATTACCTTCAACCCTGTTTTTTTTTTTTCACTTCTCTGTTTTGCATCCATTTCTTTCCCATTTCAGATCAGGCCTCCTGTCACACCTTGCTGATTTCTCCAGCGTCTGCCTGACGTCCCAGAATCTCCTAAAAAGCTGGCAGACGTTGAACTTTCTATGGATTTTTTTTCTATTCTGGGCGTAAACATAGATCATTCATAACGAGTCCAGAACTTCAGTCCAACTGTCCTAACTTCTGTCCTAACTTCTGCACTGCATCCTCAGTTAAAGCTGCTCCCCTCAGGCGCCCGGCCTGCATAAAAAGATATCTTTGATGGCGGTATTAACGTAGCTGCTGTTTACCACCCGCCAAAAAAAAGATAAAGAATAAAGAGAAGGTTTTTGGTGGCAGCAGATTGGGCGTCATGTCTGCTAGGAAGTGTGTTGGTGGTGGGCGTGAACGCAGGGAGGATCCATCACTCCCCTTCTGGCTCACCCTATGATGGGGATGAAGTCTGGAGGAGAACTGACGGTTTCCTCCTGTGAACCCCCTTTATACCAAAACGCTGCCAATACGCCATTATACAGTAGCTGGAAGATAGAAACACGTTCAGCGCTCGTCTGGAACACGTCAGATACGCTGATATGCGTTGGAGAGAAGTTCTGGATAAGTTACTCAGAGGTTTAGGATCAGCTAGACGCCACGACTGATGAGGAACTGAGACTGAACGGATGTCAACCATCAGATAACTGACCTGGAACTGACAGACCACGGATGGCAGACGCTGGCATTTCAAGCTAAATTTCTCGACGTACTCGCTATATGTCGACGTGTTTCAGGGTGCTCATAACTTACACAACTTGTACCCATAACTTATCCAACGTATGCCAGCGTTGTGGCAAGATTTTTCGTAGGTCAGGCAGACGCTGGTCTAAATCGTCAAGGTGTGACAGGAGCTTTAGTAGAGAGAAACATTCCGCCCAATTCCATTGGAAAGGCCTCTGGATTATTCTCCGCCTGAGTGAGAACCCAAATACAGAATAAAGCTTTTAAAGAGAAAAATAATTTACTCAGATAAAAGAAACGGGGCATGAACGCAGCAGGCAACAAAGAGGAGGATTCCAGTAAATACTAGGAGGGAGAGAAAGGTGTGGCAATCAGAAGAGGGCAAAGCTGAGGACGATCAAGAACCAAGCTGAGGGAGAGAGAGAATAGTGAGCAAAGGGGGACTGGGGCGAAACAGGGAAGAAAACCAACCTGAACTGAAGCAAAACCTTAGAACTAGAAATGAAATATCTAACAATCAGAATGGAGAATATAGAAAAGGATGGTGAGAGGTAAAACTGCATCAATTAGTAATTGATTAGTATCAATTGCTAGAATACTCTTCATCTGCTGTTTATTCAGTCTGGTTCTCTGACCTCTTATTTCATGTTCAGGGAAGCAAAGGAAGCACTGGAGCTGTTGGGCCGCAGGGACCAAAGGGAGACTCCTTGATTGGGCCACAGGTAACAGTGGGAGGGGGGGGTGAGCAGAGAGCAGCTACAGCAGCAGAGGACACTACATTAACATCTTTATCATCAGGGTCTGCCAGGTTTGCCAGGACTGCAGGGAGAAACGGGACCTGAAGGAAAAGGACAACCAGGAGCAAAGGTAGCTTTGGTTTCTATAGTCTTTCCCATCATAGTCTTCCCTGTGCAGAGACGTCTGCTAAAGGTAACACTAGCACATATTTATCTACCTATTCAGAAGAAAAATAACACATTTCATGAGGCTCCTGAGGATGAGGATGGAACAAGGAGAAAATGAAAATAAAAACAGCTAAAGCGTTTCTATTCCTTTTAGGCTCCAAAATTCTGAATCACTCGCACTCGTCGTCTATCGCTTTATCCGGAACCAGGTCGCGGGGGCAGCAGACTAAGCAGAGACTCCCAGACTTCCCTCTCCGCAGACACCTCCTCCAGCTCTGCTGGGGGAAGCCCTAGGCGCTCCCAGGCCAGCCGAGAGACGTAGTCTCTCCAGCGTGTCCAGGGTCGTCCCCTGGGCCTCCTCCCAGTGGGACGTGCCTGGAACACCTCCCGAGGGAGGCGTCATGGGGGCATCCGAAGAAGATGTCCGAGCCACCTCAACTGACTCCTCTCGATGTGGAGGAGAACCGGCTCTACACTGAGCCTCTCCCGAATGACCGAGCTCCTCACCCTATCTCTAAGGGAGAGCCCAGCCACCCTGCGGAGGAAGCTCATTTCAGCCGCTTGTATCCGGGATCTCGTTCTTTCGGTCATGACCCAGAGTTCATGACCATAGATGAGGGTAGGAACGTAGATCGACCGGTAAATTGAGAGCTTTGCCTTTTCGCTCAGCTCTCTCTTCACCACGACAGACCGGTGCAGCATCCGCATTATTGCAGCAGCCGCACCGATCCGTCTATCGATCTCCCGCTCCATTCTTCCCTCACTCCTGAACAGGACCCCAAGATACTTGAACACCTCCACTTGAGGCAAGGACTCTCCTCCAACCTGAAGGGGACATGCCACCTTTTTCCGGTGGAGAACCATGGCCTCGGATTTGGAGGAGCTGATTCTCATCCCGGCCGCTTCACACTCGGCTGCGAACCGCCCTAGCGCACGCTGTAGGTCTTGGCAGGAGGGAGCCAGCAGAACTACGTCATCCGCAAAAAGCAGGGACGAGATCCGCTGTTCCCCAAACCAGACCCCCGCCGGTCCTTGGCTGCACCTAGAAATCCTGTCCATAAAAGTTATGAACAGGACCAGTGACAGAGGGCAGCCCTGTCGGAGTCCAACATGCACTGGGAACAGGTCCGACTTAATGCCGGCAATGCGAACCAGACTCCTGCTCCGCTTGTAAAGAGAACGGATGGCCCCTAATAAAGGGCCCCCGACTCCATACTCCTGAAGCACCCCCCACAGGGCAGCACGAGGGACACGGTCGAATGCTTTCTCCAAGTCCACAAAACACATGTGGACTGGTTGGGCAAACTCCCATGAACCCACAAGCACCCTGCAGAGGGTGTAGAGCTGGTCCACCATTCCACGGCCAGGACGAAAACCACACTGCTCCTCCTGCAGCCGAGGTTCGACAATCAGCCGGACTCTCCTCTCCAGCACCCTGGCATAGGCCTTTCCGGGGAGGCTGAGAAGTGTGATTCCCTGATAGTTGGAACACACCCTCCGGTCCCCCTTCTTGTGGAGTCTGCCAATCCAGGGGGACTGTCCCCGACCTCCACGCGATGTTGAAGAGACGTGTCAACTATGACAGCCCGACAACATCCAGAGCTCTGAGATACTCAGGACGGATCTCGTCCACCCCGGAAGCCTTGCCACCGTGGAGTTTTTTGACCACCTCGGTGACTTCAGCCCGGGTGATGGACGAACCCAGCCCCAAGCACCTCGTCTCTTCTTCCTCCACGGAAGGCATGTCTGTAGGGTTGAGGAGATCCTCAAAGTATTCCTTCCACCGCCCGACAATATCCTCCTTCAAGGTCAGCAGCTCCCCACTCCCACTGAAAACAGTGTTAGTGAAGCAATGCTTTCCCTTCCGGAGGCGCCAGACGGTTTGCCAGAATCGCTTTGAGGCCAACCGATTTTTCCATGGCCTCTCCGAACTCCTCCCAGGCCCGAGGTTTTGCCTCTGCAACCGCCCGGGCCGCGACACGCTTGGCCTCACGGTACCTGCTGGCTGCTTCAGGAGTCCCACAAGCCAGCCAGGCTCGATAGGACTCCTTCTTCAGCTTGACAGCATCCCTTACTATCGGTGTCCACCACCGAGTTCGGGGATTGCCACCACGACAGGCACCGCAAACCTTACGGCCACAGCTACGGGCAGCTGCATCAACAATAGAGGCAGAGAACACAGCCCATTCGGACTCCATGTCTCCAACCTCCCTCGGAACCTGAGAGAAGCTCTCCCGGAGGTGGGAGTTGAACACGTCCCTGACCGAGGGTTCCACCAGACGTTCCCAGCAGACCCTCACTACACGTTTGGGCCTGCCGAGTCTTTCAGGCTTCCTCCTCTTCCAGCGTATCCAGCTCACCACCAGGTGGTGGTCGGTGGACAGCTCCGCCCCTCTCTTCACCCGAGTGTCCAAGACATGCGGCCGAAGATCAGAAGATAAGACTACAAAGTCGATCATCGACCTTCGGCCTAGGGTCTCCTGGTGCCAAGTGCACCGATGGACATCCTTATGCCTGAACATGGTGTTCATTATGGACAATCCGTGACTTGCACAGAAGTCCAATAATGAGACACCACTCGGGTTCAGAGCTGGGGGCCCGTTCCTCCCGATCACGCCCCTCCAGGTGTCACTGTCGTTTCCCACGTGGGTGTTGAAGTCTCCCAGCAGAATGATGGAATCCCCGGGAGGGGCGCTTTCTAACACCCTCCCCAGGGATGCTAAGAAGGCCTGGTACTCCGTACTGCCGTTCGGCCCATAGGCCGAAACAACTGTCAGAGTCCTCCCTTCAACCCGAAGGCAAAGGGATGCGACCCTCTCGTCTACCGGGGTCTCCAACACAAGACGGCTGAGCTGGGGGGAGACAAGCAGCCCCACCCCCGCCCTCCGCCTCTCCCAGCGGGTCACTCCAGAGTAGAAGAGAGTCCAGCCTCTCTCAAGGAGCTGGGTTCCAGAGCCCTGGCTGTGTGTAGAGGCGAGCCCAATTATTTCTAGCTGGTATCGCTCCACCTCCCGCACAAGCTCGGGCTCCTTCCCCGCCAGTGAGGTGACATTCCACGTCCCCAGAGCCAGTTTAAAGGAATAGTACACCCAAAACATGATTAGCCTTCATTTTGTACTCACCCCCATGCTGAACAACACTCTGGAGTACTTTTTTGATATCTCAAATGCATCTGGAGATCTGGGAGGCTTCTTGCTGTCTGCTGACATTCAAATAATGGAGGTCTACGGTGCCCGAGACAGAAAGGTCCATAAAAGTCCACAAAAACGTGTCAATATTCCTCCATACTGCTCGTTGCGCTTTTAGGAAATCCTATACACTACTGTTTATGCTCTAAAAACATTCTAAATTACTTCGTTTCGAGTAAATTATGGACGCTACCCACTCAGGACACTTGGAATACATTGGACGAGCAGTATGGAGGAATATTGACACGTTTTTGTGGACTTTTATGGACCTTTCTGTCTCAGGCACAATAGACCTCCATTATTTGAATGTCAGCAGACAGCAAGAAGCCTCCCAGATCTCCAGATGCATTTGAGATATCAAAAAAGTACTCCAGAGTGTTGTTCAGCATGGGGGTGAGTAGAAAATGAAGGCTAATCATGTTTTGGATGTACTATTCCTTTAAGCGCCCGCGGATCAGGTCGCCGAGGTCTCCGCCTCTGGCTGCCGCCTAATCCCCTTTACACCGGTCCCTCATGGTTCCCCCTGCAGGTGGTGGGCCCACTGGGGGATGGCCTCGCGTCGCTCCTTCGGGCTGGGCCCGGCCGGGTCCCGCGAGGAAGAACCCGACCACCAGGCGCTCGCCGACGAACCCCAACCCCAGGCCTCGCTCCATCATAGCCTCTGGGATCACCCAGGCACTGAAACCCCTCCACCACGTTAAGGTGGCGGTTCAAAGAGGGGTGACGGTTCAAGGAGGGGAATTCTGGATCATTTTAATGATAAATCGCAAAAGATGAGACATTTTTTAGCGCATCATGTTGACAGATATGATTTTAAACCCAGTTAAGTGAATCAGAAAAAGCTCCTGGATCGAACACACGACTTTCTGGAAACGACACGCGCTCCATGCAGCTCTATGGGCCCCATGCAGCTCTATGGGCTCCATGCAGCTCTATGGGCCCCATGCAGCTCTATGGGCTCCATGCAGCTCTATGGGCCCCATGCAGCTCTATGGGCTCCATGCAGCTCTATGGGCCCCACGCAGCTCTATGGGCTCCATGCAGCTCTATGGGCCCCACGCAGCTCTATGGGCCCCATGCAGCTCTATGGGCCCCATGCAGCTCTATGGGCCCCATGCATCGCTGTTACTGAACCCATCACTAGAAAATGTCAAAGAATGTCTAGAAATATATTTACTGAGAGAAATGGTGGAGTTTAATACTTATTTTACCCTCTGTACTTCTGTATACTTAATATTTTTCAGTAAAGCAATACCTTTATTCTGCACCACTATAGATGTTCTGTTGATTTATTATTTTTGGAAAAAATAACAGTTTAAAAAAAAATTTGTATCAATAACCTTTAGGAAATACCTGTTAAAGGTAATTAAGAAACGAACTGAGCTGCATCTGGAAAGTGAGGAAATATAATCATCAGACATTTTGTTGGATTTTTTTTTCCAGGGTGAGAGAGGCTTGCCAGGTGTACCAGGACCATCAGGTCCTTCTGGGACTGGACTTCCTGGACCAAAGGTCAGTGTGAATGGAATTTGTTTGGTGTGTTTGGAAAGTGCTTAATTTCCTTTAGTAATTTGCTTAATGTCTTTAATTTCCAGGGCTCCACAGGAAAACCTGGCCCACCTGGCACGCCTGGGCCTCCAGGAGAAGGACAGCCAGGACCAAAGGTAGGGAGGAAAAAAAGGAACAACTCTAAGATCTGAATGAACCTTTTCGGTTTCATCTTGTTATATAAGGACAGGTCGATCACGCCGTCGGCGTGATCACTGAGCCGCTGTGTCGGCCTGCTAAGCACCAAATAAACAATCCATCAACCTGTGTCCTCAGGGAGAGCCTGGATTTCAAGGGCCAGTGGGGTTAAGGGGGTTTCCAGGGCAGAGTCTCCTAGGAGAGAAGGTACAGTAGCTCAGAGGTTCCATGCAGGACTCATTTCATATCAGTCTTATTGGCAGTGCTTGAAAATGTGATGATAAGGGAAGTTTTTATTCTGGTGCAGGGCAGTCAAGGATCTCCTGGGCACAAGGGAAGAAAAGGAGAAACAGGAGACTTTGGACCACCTGGTTCCCCTGGACCCATGGTAACATCATCTCCAGCTGGTTTAAGAAGCTTTTCTGTCACTTTACTTTCATATTTAGGCCGTTTCTGACTGAATTACGGCTGAAAGAATTAATCTGATTAATCGATTATTGAAATAATCTTCAGCTATTTTAGTAATCGTTTAACTGTTACCTGAACGACCTACTTAGAGCAGGTATTATACCAAGAGTTTATGAAATATATCAAAATGTTCCATTTAGGAGAGGACTTCCGGTAATGGCGGCAGGGTGATCACACGCCTGGAGTTTGCTCCCTGACCATTTGTAACTTTAATACCTCTAAATTCCGACTTTTTGAACTATTTTCTTGTCAGCGCAACACTTTTGATACTAAAATGAGTAAATCCCACGGGACCCGCCAAGGGAAAAACCAGCCTCAGCTGACTCAGCACTTCAGCCCGCATGATAAAGATGCTAGCAAGGCAGAAGCTAGCAATGTAGCAACAGGTGGAGCCCAACCGTTAACACTGGACATGCTTGTCGGTGAACTTCAGAAATTGCGCAAAGACGTAACAGGTGAACTCACCTCCTCCCTGAATACGGCCATGGCTCCTATCCAAGCTTCTCTGCAGAAGATCGCTGATACAGTAGCCTCACACACAGCTACCATCTCCGTAATGGAATCAGCCCTCACTTCCCATTCAGATGACCTGACGACTCTGCAGCGCGAAGTGGCCGAGCTGAAGTCCAAGGTGGAGACCAACACTCAGACGAATGAAAAGCTACAGCGGGTTGTTGAGGACCTGGTTTCACGATCCAAACGGCAGAATCTGCGTGTGATCGGCATCCCTGAGGGAGTGGAGGGGACCGATGCTCGTCTTTTCATGACCACGCTGTTTAAGGACGTGACCGGAGGCGCTTTACAGGATAAGACATTTGAACTGGACCGAGCTCACCGTAGCCTGGGTCTGAAACCGCCGCAGGGATCCCGACCCATTATTGTGCGCTTTCATAGTTACATCCAGAAAGAGAAAGTGCTGCTGTGGGCGAAGAAAACACGGAGCATTTCATACCAGGGCCATCCCATAAGGATCTTTGAGGATTTCAGCGCTGCGCTCGCCAAGAAGCGGGCATCGTTTAACAAAGTGAAGTCTCTCCTCTACAAGGATGGGATCCGCTTTGGGCTCCTCTATCCGGCGCGGCTGCGGATCACTGTTGACGGTCAGTCTCGCTTGTTTGACTCCGCGGAGGAGGCGGAGCGTTTCTACCGCGGTCTCAGCAGTAAGTGAAGACCTGACGTCTCGATGCACACATCTTCTAACTTTCACGGAGCGCCACTAGAACTGAACTGTAGACGCTATAGATATATGGTTGGAGCTGGAGGATTCAGCCCAGAGCTGAACTTAGTTACAGACTCATAAATAAGCTCCTAATATGTAAGCTCCAGTTATGATTATGACAAACGTTTGTGCGTTTAAATATTTGTTCAATATTTCTTATGAGAAGCACAATTCTGTTTGGGTTCTGTTGAGTACCTTTTTTTACGCTGTCAAATATTAAATATTAGAGGTGTACATATTTCCACGGTTAGGAAGGAAGCAAATTCCTATCAGTCAATCGGTTGTGTAAAGTGGTAATTCCTGCATGCTCATCTGTGTTTCAGATGAGGTTAGGACACATATATAAGAATGTTTTGAACCTGAAGGTGTCACTAAGGACACCTTCTGTTGTGTTTGGGACTTTTTTGTTTTTTCGATTTATTTTTAATGGAGGAGTATTTTCTTTTTTCATTGGTTTGCACAATGGCTTTGTAGATGTTGTTGCTACCTTGCCTCCCATTACTAAACTGACCTGGCTAGACCACCACTTCATCAGCATTTACAGGACTGACAGTTTAGCACTGATTTCATGATTGACATAAGGCAGAAGGACACAGGGCGAACCATCAGGTTCACAAACTGGAACGTAAGGGGGCTCGGTGGACCTATTAAAAGGACCAAAGTACTCTCACATCTTAAGTGTATGAAAACGGACATCGTGTTCCTCCAAGAAACCCATCTTCGCCCTTGCGACCACATCAGACTGCGAAAACCCTGGGTGGGACAGGTGTTCCACTCCAACTTTAACAGCCGCTCGAGAGGTACAGCTATTTTACTGCACAAACGAGTACAGTTCTCAGCGGAACAGGTCATATCTGATCCCAATGGCCGTTATATTATTGTCGTTGGTGTGCTGTTTCAAACCCCTGTTATTATGGTTTGTGTTTATGCCCCTAACTGGGACTGCCCTAACTTTATGTCCTCCCTTTTCTCATCCATTCCATGCCTAGACACACATCATCTCATCTTTGGAGGGGATCTTAACTTATCTATCAATCCCATGCTTGACAGATCTTGTTTGAGAAAAATAACTCAATCCAAAGCAGCTAAATGTTTGTCTGTGCTCACAGATCAAATTGGCAGTGTGGATGTGTGGCGTTTTTACCATCCAACAGCAAAAGAGTTTTCTTTTTACTCCCAGGTTCATCAGACATACTCTCGGATAGATTACTTTTTTCTGGATAAGCTTTTACTACCCTCAGTGAAACAATGTGAATACTCATCGATAGTCATTTCAGACCATGCCCCCCTATTGTTAGACCTGGAACTAGCTCCTAAATCCAAAGGCCAATCATGCTGGAGATTAAACACTGGACTCTTATCATCTGACAAATTTTGTGAGTTTATCTCTGATAAGATTTCCTGCTTTCTTGAAAACAACAAATCTGACTCTACTTCACCTTCTCTCCTGTGGGAAACCCTCAAAGCAGTAATCCGTGGAGAAATTATTTCATATAATGCCAGGACACGAAAGGATGAGAGGCAAAGACAACTTGAACTGATCGCAGCAATTCATCAGATTGATAGACAGCACTCCATCTCAGCCAATGCTACTCTCCAGATGGAGAGACTGAAATTACAAACTGAATTTGACCTTATTTCCACAAACAAAGCAGAGTTTCTTTTAAGGCGTACAAAGGGCACTTATTATGAATATGGAGACAAGGCTGGTCGGTTACTAGCAAGGCAATTAAAACATCAGTCCTCTTCCCAATTCATTACTCAAATTCGTAAGAACCCCCAAACTTTAATTACAGACCCAACTGAGATAAACAATACTTTTGCTTCATATTACTTTGATTTATACAAATCAGAAGCCTCATCAGACAATACTCCTATGAACCAATTCCTAGATAATTTAATTTTCCCCTCTGTGGACACTTATTCCAAAAACATTCTAGATGCCCCTCTCAATCTGGAAGAGGTGAAAGCCAGCCTTAAATTAATGCAGAGTAACAAGGCACCAGGCCCGGATGGCTTTCCCTCTGACTTTTACAATAAATTTTCTGACCAGCTTGCTCCTTTATTATTGGACATGTTTAATGACTCCCTTAAACGTGGCACCCTTCCGTTGACTTTAACTCAAGCATCAATATCACTCATCCCAAAGAAAAATAAAGACCTTGAGAACTGCGGCAGCTGGCGACCTATCAGTTTGCTCAATAGTGATGTTAAGATACTGGCTAAAACCCTCGCCGGCCGCCTCGACCCCTGCCTACCAAAAATAATCTCAAAGGACCAGACTTGGTTTATAAAAGGCAGACAACTATCCTCAAATGTACGCCGTCTGCTCAACATAATACTGTCCAAGCCTGAATCACAAAATCCTGAGATGGTAGTCTCTATGGATGCTGAAAAAGCTTTTGATAGAGTGGAATGGAATTATTTGTTCTCAGTCTTAAATAGGTTTGGCTTTGGCCAAAGCTTTGTTTCGTGGATTAAATTATTATACAGCGCCCCAGTTGCCAGTGTAAAAACAAACTTGACACAATCCAGCTTCTTTCCTTTAACACGCGGCTGCCGCCAAGGATGCCCACTATCACCATTGCTGTTCGCTATTGCAATAGAACCGCTTTCCATTGCCCTTAAGAGCTCACCGCTTTTTAACGGTGTACATAGGAACGGGAATGAGCACAGAGTATCACTTTATGCTGATGACCTTTTACTCTATGTCTCAAATCCCACCGTTTGCATGGACAAAATTCTGGACATTTTACACACTTTTGGTTCCTTTTCTGGCTATAAATTGAACATTAAAAAAAGCGAATGCTTTCCTCTTAATGATGCAGCAAAACAGATCCCGGCTCAATCACTACCGTTCTGCTTAGCCTCCTCTAGGTTTCAATATTTAGGAATTAATATTTTGAATAGTCTCCCTTTATTGCATAAACATAACACTGTGGAGCTGGTCAGAAAGGTGAAGTCAGACCTATTACGCTGGAATAATCTCCCACTGTAACTTCTAGGTAGGATAAACTCTATTAAAATGAATGTTCTACCAAAATTTTTATTTCTTTTTCAGTGTTTAACTATATACCTGCCCAAAAGGTTTTTTTATGAATTGGATAAGATGATTTCACATTTCATTTGGGCAGGAAAGACTCCAAGGGCAAAATACTCAATATTGCAAAGACCCAAGGACAAGGGAGGCCTTGCATTGCCGGATTTTAGAGCATATTATTGGGCAGCCAATATTCAAAAGGTCTATACCTGGTACAACTCTCCCAACACAGACTGGTGTCGGATGGAGGCCTACTCATGTACCCCTGCCTCGTTGTCAGTTTTGATATGTTCCCCTCTAAATGCTCATCCCACTAAAGTCACCTCCAACCCAATTGTATTATCCACTATTAATATTCTCAGACAATTTAAACGGCACTTTAAAATCACCTGTCTCTCCCCACTGATGCCCCTTTGTGAAAATTACTTATTCCCACCTGCTTCACTTGATCCGACTTTTTCTCTGTGGAAAGAGAAGGGGCTGGTAAACTTTGATCAATTCTATGACAAGAACATTTTAACTTCCTTTGATAACCTCAAAACTAAGTTCGCCCTCCCACAATCCCATTTATTTAGATATTTTCAGGCCAGAGATTTTGTTCGTTGTAACTTTCCCAATTTTCCCCATAAACCTCCTCGTACTCTTATTGATGTCATTCTATCTCTCCCGGCTGCTCCTGGATTCATTTCAGTCGTGACAAAATTAATCTTGTCATCAATACCATCCTCGCTGGTGACTAGAAATTCATGGGAAAAGGAGCTGGGTTGCACCGTGTCGGATGAGGGGTGGAAGAGGGCCCTTGACAGGGTCAACTCCACCTCATCTTGTGCCAGTCTGACTCTAATTCAGTTTAAGGTCCTACACAGGATACATTACTCCAAAGCTAAACTTAAAAAATTATTTAATACAAGTGATACATGTGACAGATGCTCTCTGTCACCAGCCAGTCATACACACATGTTCTTTTCCTGTCCCAGATTAAGCTCATTCTGGTCCTCTTTCTACAATATTTTTACAAAAGCTCTAAACAAGCCAGTGCCTCAGAGTCCTCTGACCTCTATCTTTGGTGTGCTTGAGGATCTCACACACTTCACGAACAGGGAAAGTAACGCTATTGCTTTCGCATCTCTGGTAGCCCGGAGATGCATATTACTTCAATGGAAGGATAAGAATCCTCCCTCCCCTGACTCTTGGCTCAAGGATCTAATGTCACTCCTACACTTAGAAAAAATCAAGTACAGCATCAGGGGATGCGTCGACAAATTTTATAAAACTTGGAATCCCATTCTTTCCTTAGTTGATTCAACTCCCTCCTAAGATGATTAAAAAGTATGGCTTTAATTAAGACACACTGACATAACCCCTCTCTAATTGAATCTCTACAAATTTTCCTGTGGTTTGATCTGTTGGAACACCAGCCAGGATTTTAAGAGAGGCCAGTGGTTGGGTTAGGGATTTGGTGGTCGAACCTTAAGCACAACATTTAACTGTCATAGTTATATTTTTGATTTTGTTTTCTAAGCATTTCTGATCCCTCCTCTTTTTTTTTTTTTTTTTTTTTTTCTTTTCTTTTTCTTTCTTTTTTTTTTTTTTTTTTTTTTTTTTGTAATTTGCTTGTTGGTTCTGTAAATGTTCTCCCCTCCTGTTTGCTCGTTACGAGGGAGAGAATCATGTTGGCTTATTGTTAATATTTTTCATTGTTTTCCTGGGAATGTAGGGAGATGGAGGATAAGTGAAATGTATTCCCATGTAAATTAAAGTTTTGTACCCATCTAACCCAATAAAAAAAAATATATGGAAAAAAAAATGTTCCATTTAGGAGAAAAGAAAAGTTTGTGTTTCAATATGTTTCATCCAGAACAGTTTTAGTTTCACCTTATTTAATAAAAAGTCTTCTATATGGAACATTTGGCGATCCGATTATAATCGAAAAAAACAATCAACAGATTAATCGATTTGCAAAATAATCATTTGCTGCAGCCCTAAACTGAATACTTTATTATGTTAGAGCAGAGTATTTGTAAAATGTAAAGTTTTTTTTTACTATAATAGTTTAAATCTTTGTTTTTATAATCAGATATTTCTGTCATTAAACAATAAATACTTCAATATCAAGGCTCAAATGATATCAATTTTTTTCTCCCATACTGTTTACATTTGATCACTGCTGCACTTGATGGAATAGAAATGTCATCAAAGTTGTACAAATTGAATTTTTTTTTTCATATACACACTGTGTATATGAAATGAGAATAGAAGCTGAACAAGTCTAATTAATGACCATATTCTAATCCTATAGGGGAGACCCGGTGAAAAAGGAGAGCCAGGACTTACGGTTAGTTCCTGACTGCTATCAGATGCATTATGACGAAGTTCTAGGTCTCTTACTTTGTTCTGTTTCTCATACAGAGAGACGAGGTCGTCCAGATCATAAAGGAAATACTGGGTAAGGTCCTTCAGAGCAGAGCAGCCAGGAATATTTCATGTGGTTCACACCTTGGTCTCGATGGCAGTCACAGACCCCCCCTACAGGCGGGAAGCATGGTACTGTAGGCAGGTCCAAACTGGTTCAAAGTTTTCTATCTAAGGAAACCAGCTGATTGCATCGACTCATTGACTCTTCAGCAATCCCTCACACTAAGCATGCTTGTAGTGACAGTGGAGAGGAAAAACTCCCTCTGAACAGGAAGAAACCTCCAGCAGAACCAGGCTCAGTGTGAGCGGCCATCTGCTGAGGCCCACTGGGGTTCAAGGAGACAGAAGCAGACATAGAAAAAGAAGCATAGATACAAAAGGCAACTGTCAACCAGCTCCACAGGCGGCCCCGTCCAGGAAACACACAGCCAGGCAGACGAGCTCCGAGCCAGCTCCCATGTCAGAGGATGAAGAGAGCACATCCAGTTAGTCACAGTCAGAGAAACAGGACTACACTGGAAAACAGACCAAGCTCCAACATCTAGAAACAAAGGTGTTGATGGCAGCAGCACAGCTGATATTTCTCTCCAGGATGGAGTCACAGCCAAACAGGAACAGACCAGATGAAGCTACTATGAGAAAAAGCAGAGAGAGCAGAACGTTAGAGATTGAACTAACAGATTCTGCAGAGTGGGAGAATAGAGATAGAATGAAGCAGAGTGATGAAAAAGGGGTCCCTATGTCCTCAAGCAGTCTAAGCCTGTAGCAGCATAACCATAGAGATAGCTCAGGATAACCTGAGCCACCCTAACTATAAGCTTTATCAAAAAGGAAAGTTTTAAGCCTAGCCTTAAAAGTAGACAGGGTGTCTGCTGAGGCCGACTGGGATTCAAGGAGACGGAAGCGGACATAGAAAGAATCAAACATATTTTTTCACAGGTATAAATGAACAAAATGCGGGTATCATAGAATTACAGCATGAATTAATCTTATTTATATTTTCTTATTTATTAACTTTAAATATAAATTGATTCAAAAATATCCAAATAACAGTAATTTCTCAAACAATGAGGAAAACCTTCTTAGTTCGGTCAGTTTGCAGTTGTCAGTGTTTGAGCGCAGCGCATACTGGATATGTGAGGCAGTGTTATTTTCTGCCTCTGTTATGATAAATGGCCGTGTGTGCACTTTAATGATCAGAGGTCGGGTCGCAGTTTATTATGGGTCTGTTCGGTCCCAGCCGGGTTTTAAATGGGTATAATTGCAGGTAACGGGTCAGGACTTAGTACCGAACTCCACAGGCACAGCAGATACAGTTTTGAAAAATGAGACCCATGCAGGATTGTGATATACGACCGTACACATTGCTAGCTGAAAGCCTGCCTCAGAGGTACAACTTTAATTAGTGGTTGATAAGATAGCAGAGAATATTTTTATACATAAATTTGGTCTTCATAATAAACACTATAGAGAAGGTAGAATCACATTTTCAGATGGTTTGATGTGAAATAGTTTTCATAAATCAGGATATAGTGGTACAATCTGCAAATATCTGATATTCTCTGCCTTTTTACACCTTTTTTTATGTCCTAGGATGTGGAGTCATGTGCAGAGGGAGTCCACTAGAACTTGTATTTGTCATTGAAAGCTCGGAGAGTGTTGGACCAGAACATTTTGAACTGGTGAAGGACTTTGTGATTGCCATTATTGACCAGCTACCAGTCAGCCAGGGAGCCAGCCGTGTTGGGGTCGTGCTCTACAGCCATTTGAACAAAGTGGTTGTAAGTCTGCAGCAGCAGCCCAGCAAAGATGAGATTAAGGAAGCTGTCAGAACCATGCCCTACCTGGGTGAGGGCACCTTCACCGGTAGCGCTGTCCATCGAGCCAAGCAGCTGTTGCAAGCCTCTCGGCCTCATGTGGGGAAGGTGGCCGTGGTTTTAATGGCCGCTCAGGCAGATCGCCGGGATTTCATGGAGTTTAAAAAAGCCGTCTCTGATTCCCATGAAGAAGGCATTGAGCTGTTTGTTATAGCTGTGGGAAACAAGACTGATCTTTATGGAGAATTCCTGACTCAGATAAGAACGTTTGCCTCAGACCCTGATGAAGACCATGTCTACCTCCTGGATGACTTTCAGATGTTATCTGGTAAGAATATACACTTATGTTTCTTTCTTAAAACTCACCATCCCAGTGTCACACACTGTAACCTGCCGTCATTTAGAAGATTTTGTGTATAGTGAATGAACCATGGAGATGGTACTTATACATGCAGTAATTCCCCTTTAGTTCATTCCTTATGTATCAGGTATCTTGTTCATGTTTGTGTTCTCTGTATATTCAGACAATCACTATTAAGCTTCTGTCCTCGTCAGCATCAGAAATGGTTTTCACGTCTGCTACTTTACAGGTTTTACCATCTATAGGGCCAGCCAGGTCTGCATACAAAAGCTCTCGAATGCACTTTGCCTTGCTTCTCTATTTCTGCTCTGAGCAAATTTGCCTTTGATGCACACTTCACATGTCACATTGGAGTTCGCACTTTTTGTTTTAATTTTCATCCCTTCTGTTACATTTTCCAACTTTTCCATCCATCCATCCATCCATCCATCTTCCTCCGCTTATCCGGGGTCGGGTCGCGGGGGCAGCAGCTTAAGAAGGGAGGCCCAGACTTCCCTCTCCCCAGCCACTTCTTCTAGCCCCTCAGGAAGAACCCCAAGGCGTTCCCAGGCCAGCCGAGAAACATAGTCTCTCCAGCGTGTCCTGGGTCTTCCCCGGGGCCTCCCCCCGGTGGGACGTACCCGGAACACCTCACCAAGGAGGCGTCCAGGAGGCATCCTAACCAGATGCCCGAGCCACCTCAACTGGCTCCTCTCGACGTGGAGGAGCAGCGGCTCTACTCCGAGTCCCTCCCGGATGGCCGAGCTCCTCACCCTATCTCTAAGGGAGAGCCCAGCCACCCTATGGAGGAAACCCATTTCGGCCGCTTGTATCCGCGATCTCGTTCTTTCGGTGATGACCCAGAGTTCATGACCATAGATGAGGGTAGGAACGTAGATCGACCGGTAAATCGAGAGCTTCACTTTTTGACTCAGCTCCCTCTTCACCACGACGGACCGGTACAGCGCCCGCTTCACGGCAGACGCTGCGCCAATCCGTCTGTCGATCTCCCGCTCCCTTCTTCCCTCATTCAACTTTTACATGTAATCATAATTACAGTGTCGCAAAATGTCATGCCATGTCTGGATACCATAACACACATTGCATTTGATCAGCTTCATCAGCAGTACTGAGATAGGTCATGAGTATGAAAATCAAAATTCGTTCTGTTCATATGGATGAGACGATTCTGTCCCGCTTTAAAGATGGCAGTCTCTCCCTGCATTTTAGCCGCTTTAACTGAAAAGATGTCCTGGGAGAGTGATGGCACATAGAGCGCCTCCATCAGCGATACATCATCAATGTGACCTTTACTGTCTGTTAGATGTACTTTGGCTTTGCCTTTCCTTTGCGCAACACCAGTGGTTTTTCTCCATCAGCCAACTCCAATCTGTGGCTCTGAGGCTTGAAAGTTGGATCAAACTGTTCAAACCTGTTGATGTCAGTGATTCAGACTCTTCAATTCAGACCAGGACATCCTCCAGCTGGAGCTTGGAAGTGAACGTGTGGTCCTCCTCATCCACCGCTTGCTTCACTTTGTCCCGCTTTCTGTGCCGATAGTGTGCGTCCTTGTGCGTGGCGCTCTTACATATGTTGCACCATTGCCTGGACTCTGCACTTGACAGTAGCTGACGAATAGTCCACAGCTCTGGCGCTTCTGACCACAAGCGAAACAGGGATTGGTAGCCTAGTGGTTAGGGTAGAGAGTGAATTTCCTTGCGCTGAACTTGTAACAGTGTAATGAAAATAAAACGCTGGGAAAAAACCAAACAAATGGTTCCCCCTTCCCTGCGTAATGGTCACAGAGGATCTGCAGCGTTTCATGACAAGAGGCAAACTTTTGTCATTCAGCACTTGAACTAGAACTGCATACAATTCTACTCTTCATTCTTACTGGTGTCTTCCTTGGCACCTTCATGAGGGACCTCACTTAGGATAGAGCTTTTGAGGTCAAGCAAGTGCGCCAAAAACTTGGTTTCCTACATAATTTATTTTCACCTCCGTCAAAACATAAGCGATTCTATCAGCTCCCAAACTCTTTACTAGGACCATGGCCTGTTGACGCAGCCATCGCCTCTACAGCGGACAGAGGCAAGATAAGACAAAAAGACATGGATTTCCATTTGGCCTGCATGCTATCATTTTTGTGACTGGGCTGCCGCCATTTATTGATGATTACCCACCAGTATGTAGCCATGCCAACATCCAAAAGTGGATACCAGGGTCAATTAGGGACACAGATGTCAACAGAACTTATCCATCTTTTAGCGCCTTGGCCCATGCCTCCCATGTCGAGCTTTTAGCCGATCATTACAACATTCTTGATTTGTTTCACAACTAGCAAAGTTGACTAATAAATCAAACTCTTACCAAATCCAGTCAGGAGGAACACACATACATCTTTCCGATCCTTAAAGACAGAAATCGTGTTATTTTGCTTGTTTTTCAATAATAAACAGTAGTCCAGCTAAAACCTGTAGTTTATGCTTTAACGTCATACATGTCACTGCATTTCATTGGTCCGAAACAATACTGTTTTGAGGCTAATGCATCGTTTTGCTTCCAGCTAGATATATTTTTGGGAGTTCGTGCACAAATCTTGTGACAATTCATCTGGCTTGCAAGGTAACCTCTGCCCTCGACCTTCCTGCTTTGATGTGTTGTTTTTTTTTCTCAACCAAATAAGAAGATAGTGCTGCTCCACTTCGACTTGTTTGTCTCTAGAAATCAAGTGAACTTCAGAGACTGAATTGTAGTCAGTCACCAGGTCCTGATGGTGTCAGACCTCCTGAAACGTTGAACACCTGAGACAGCATCATCCAAAGACCCTCTGCTACCTCACCATATACCTTTTCTTTACTCAACAACATTCAAACCTGCTTCTTTCTAGTGTACAGGTGCTGGTCATAAAATTAGAATATCATGAAAAAGTAGATTGATTTCAGTAATTCCATTTAAAAAGTGAAACTTGTATATTATATTCATACATTACATACAAACTCATATATTTCAGATGTTTATTTTGTTTAATTTTGATGATTACAAATGACAACAAATGAAAATCTCAAATTCATCATATCAGAAAATTAGAATATTGTGAAAAGGTTCAAAATTGATGGCCCCTGGTGCCACACTCTAATCAGCTAATTAACTCAAACCACCTGCAAAAGCCTTTAAATGGTCTTTCAGTCTAGTTCTATAGGCTACACAATCATGGGGAAGACTGCTGACTTGACAGTTGTCCAAAAGACGACCATCGACACCTTGCACAAGGAGGGCAAGACACAAAAGGTCATCGCTAAAGAGGCTGGCTGTTCACAGAGCTCAGTGTCCAAGCACATTAATAGAGAGGCGAAGGGAAGGAAAAGATGTGGTCGAAAAAAGTGTACAAGCAAGAGAGATAACCGCACCCTGGAGAGGATTGTGAAACAAAACCCATTCAAAAATGTGGGGGAGATTCACAAAGAGTGGACTGCAGCTGGAGTGAGTGCTTCAAGAACCACCACACACAGACGTATGAAAGACATGGGTTTCTGCTGTCGCATTCCTTGTGTCAAGCCACTCTTGAACCACAGACAGCGTCAGAAGCGTCTTGCCTGGGCTAAAGAGAAACAGGACTGGACTGCTGGTGAGTGGTCCAAAGTCATGTTCTCTGATGAAAGTAAATTTTGCATTTCCTTTGGAAATCAAGGTCCCAGAGTCTGGAGGAAAAGAAGAGAGGCACTTCATCCACGTTGCTTGAAGTCCAGTGTAAAGTTTCCACAGTCAGTGATGGTTTGGGGTGCCATGTCATCTGCTGGTGTTGGTCCATTGTGTTTTCTGAGGTCCAGGGTCAACGCAGCCACATACCAGGAAGTTTTAGAGCACTTCATGCTTCCTGCAGCTGACCAACTTTTTGGAGATGCAGATTTCATTTTCCAACAGGACTTGGCACCTGCACACAGTGCCAAAGCTACCAGTACCTGGTTGAAGGACCATGGTATCCCTGTTCTTAATTGGCCAGCAAACTCTCCTGACCTTAACCCCATAGAAAATCTATGGGGTATTGTGAAGAAGAAGATGCAATACACCAGACCCAACAATTCAGAAGAGCTAAAAGCCACTATTAGAGCAACCTGGGCTATCATAACACCTGAGCAGTGCCACAGACTGATCGACTCCATGCCACGCCGCATTGCTGCAGTAATACAGGCCAAAGGAGGCCCAACTAAATACTGAGTGCTGTACATGCTGATACTTTTCATGTTCATACTTTTCAGTTGGCCATCATTTCTATAAATCCTTTGTTTTTATTGGTCTTCAGTAATATTCTAATTTTCTGATATGATGAATTTGAGATTTTCATTTGTTGTCATTTGTAATCATCAAAATTAAACCAAATAAACATCTGAAATATATGAGTTTGTATGTAATGTATGAATATAATATACAAGTTTCACTTTTTAAATGGAATTACTGAAATCAATCTACTTTTTCATGATATTCTAATTTTATGACCAGCACCTGTATATAACAGTAACAGGCTTTGACCATGTATTTGCCTGATATAACTGTCCGGAATGTCCTAGTGCAGTGGTTTTCAAAGTATGAAAGCGTGAGCCCCCCTCCAGGGAGCACTATGCCTGCTGCGCCCCCCCCCCAAAAATAATCAACCCACACACAAAAAAATGCCACTGCAAAACACCTTGTAATTGCTTTTATTTTAGAACCATCTCATCTTTTAAAATGACACTATCTGAATGAAATTTAACACATGAACATTTTAAAACATTTCCTCCCATTTTAATCCTTTGTATGGCAAAATACGCCCTTTTTTCATTTTTCTAACGATAAGAACAACCCAAACTCACTTTTCAACTGTTTTCTCAAACAAACGTTACATCTGAGATTCTGAGTTTAATGTTTGAGATACCAACAGTGTTTTCACATTTTAACAACAACATTTTGATCAGATCTTCATTTAGAGCTGTGGAAATTCAGTCCCTACTGACAGCCAAAAGTGCGCAAGTGACACATCACTCATCCTCTGTTTCAAGTCCTTGTCACAGCTCAGCTCAGCCAGAGCCTCTTCCTCTCCTGCTGAAAGTCCATCTTTGAGTGTCACGGGGAAGGAAAATGGGTTTCTCACCCACTGGTTTGCCATTGTCTCCTCTCCAAAATACTCGCGCATCCCCTCCAAATGCGCGCAGACAGCCAGCTGTAAAAACTCCACCTTCAGCCCCGCTCTGGCCAAAACATCCTCTAAGGTGGGAAACATTTCCACTGATCCCCGCTCCACACGCACACCCAGCAGTTCCAACTTGGTCCTAAATGCATATTTATTTTTTCCCTCTCACCGCGCCTCCCCTAAGGTGCTCTGGTGCCCCCCAGGGGAGGCGCGCCTCACACTTTGAAAACCGCCGTTCTAGTGCTTTATAACACATAATTCACTTAGCAGATTAACTTCAATTGAAGAAACTAATGACAAGAGCTGCTCTGCCTAGTGAAGTTTTACATTGGACAACAATTTTCTAAGTCACATCAATCGATCGGTAAATCCAGAGCTTTGCCCCCCCCCCCGACTCAGCTCCCTCTTCACCATGACAGCCCTATACAGCGACCGCATCACTGCTGACGCCGCGCCAATCAATCTATTGATTTCACGCTCCATCCATCCCTCACTAATAAACAACACCCCGAGATATTTGAACTCCTCCACATGATACAAGGACTCTCCTTCTTTAATATTTAATATCCTTCTTTAATATTAACTAATGTCAGAACCACAAAATGTTTTAAATTAACAAGATTTTTTTTCATTTCTAATGTAGGTCTGGAGAATAATCTACTGAAGCAGATTTGTGATCAAGATGCATCAACAGCGTTTCTACCAAAATGGTTTTTCTCCTCTGTGGAAACTCATCTGGATTATCCGGAAGACAGGGACTCGACATTCATCCCAAAAGATGAAAACATAAAGGTAATGTCTTTGTAATATTAGCACTTTTGTGGTAAACATTATTTATGCTCATTGTTTATTTTATTCATGCCTTGTGGGACTGGTTGAAGTCATTGCCATCTAGTTTATTTGCTTTCCGAGGACAGTGAACTTAAACTTCTTGTTGTTGATAACGAGTCGAAATATGGCTGGGTCCTAGGAAGGTCTCTTAGGGGGTTTTAAAATTGTAGAGAAACGGCTGTTCCAACCATTGCATTGGTGAATTCTCCCGAATTGTGCCCAACAACGAGTGAATAAAGTAAATGTAATTGATTGATTATCAAGGTGGGCAGGATTGTTGTGGTGGAAGGTTCGCTAGCAAGTTTGATTGTGGCCGGTTTGTTAAAAGAATCCTGTTAACCAGTTAGCAACTTAGTGCTAGCAGGTTCCCAATGGGAAATTCCATTGGGACCAAGTAGCACTAAATTGGTGACTTAGAAACGACGCTGTCAAGGAACGCTATGGACTTCGGAAACATGCAAGAGGAGGAGAGTTTAGTGTCGGAGGTCATGGATGAGTCTCCTCCGTCATCCATTTTTTATTTAGAGGAGGAAAGCGGGGACGAAGATGTTGTGGAAGAGGACGCCAGGGCGGCAGAAGCTTGGTTTGGTGTAGAAGGCTTCCAGCCGTACATGTTTGAGCCCTTGCCTCGCAACGCTGCCAGTTCTGTTAGCTCTACGCCTGCCGAAGACACAGACGTCCATCCCTGTGAACACTGGGACGCAACTCAATGGGAAAGGAAAGGATTCTGATTTCAACCGTTGCGTATATTAGCTGCGACACATGAATCAAGATGCTATGACCGAAAACATTTGATTGACAGATGACCGTGTCCGAATTTAGGTGTTCAGGCTGACGTAGAACTAACTGGCCTGCAGAAGATAACAAAAACCCCCACAGATTTTAGGACAGGATTTTTTTTTATAGAAATATTCTGAAATTTGGGTCAATATTGTCTGATAAAGATTACATTTATATACATGTTTAAGCCAGAATGATTTGACATTTAATTATCCCTTCCCTATGACTTTAATGTTGAGAAAAAGAAGGACCGAGCAAGGACCTGAGCCAGCATTACCCCTCCTGGATGCGCATAAAAAGGGTAGTGGAAGCTGAAGGTAAAGCATGCATTGCTGTTGTCAGCAAAAGAAAGAAAGATCATGTTTCAAAGAAAGAGTTCCGAATACGACCACTTGACAAATTCAAGACAAGACACAAAATGAGTCCTGGCAAAATAAATCTCACAGTTGAAGAACTCAAGGTTGAGCTTGAAATTATCAAGCACTACCAGAGAAGAACATTTGGTAAAGAAATCAGTTCTTTAAAAGATGGTAAGGCTTCCAGCCGCATATACAAACTCCACCCGGTCCTTCAAGATGGCATTCTTTTGGTTTGGGGCAGGGTAAGCAGAACAGCCATGCAGGAGGAGGTAAAACACCATGCCATTGTGGACAAAGACCCTGCTGGTGTCAGAGCTAATTCTTTATGCCATTCATGAAGAAGTTGGTCATGGTGGGTGCAACCATATTCTGTCAAAACTGCCCCAGAAATACTGGAGCCAGTAAAGGCGCTGTGTGAAGACGGCTCCATGATCTTACAGGACAACAAAAGAGGGCAGACCTGCTGAAGAGCAGAGTTATACCTGATCAACCACCCTTCACCAGAACTGGGGTCCAATTTTTTGCTCCTTTTTATGTCTAAAGTCAAAAGCAGCATTATCTTTGGACAAAGACTCTTTCATTAATGCTCTGTATGCATAGTAACAGGTGCAATATATATATATATACCTCTTCTGGAAGCTCTGGATCAGGGAGTGTTTGACTGATCTTCATCAATGTCTGCACCTTCAACTACACCTTTGTTTCTAGATGTTGGAGCTTGGCCTGTTTTCCAGTGTAGTCCTGTTTCTCTGACTGTGACTAACTGGATGTGCTCTCTTCATCCTCTGACATGGGAGCTGGCTCGGAGCTCGTCTGCCTGGCTGTGTGTTTCCTGGACGGGGCCGCCTGTTGAGCTGGTTGACAGTTGCCTTTTGTATCTATGCTTCTTTTTCTATGTTTGCTTCGGCCTGGTTCTGCTGGTTCTTTCTTCCTGTTCAAAGCATGTTCTATGTCTAATAAAGTCCAAGAGATGCATTATTTTTGGATTATCAATGAATAAAACTTTTTGCTTGTTGCAATTTTTAGGGGGAAAATACTGTCTACTAAAGGTCATACAAAATTTGAAATGAGGATCTCCTGCACAGCCTTTTATTTCCGTGATTATAAAAAAAATAAAAAATCCCTAGGGCCTCATGCACACAGATTTGCATGAATTAACTTCCTAAACAAACAGCTATCTGAGGACAATGCAAATGAGTAAACGGATCTAGAGGTAGGAAGCTGTGAATATGCCTTTATCCAAGATCATTTCTGTTATACACACCAACCAAAATGAAATTAATACGCAAAAAGTATACCAGACCTTTGACTTGACAGATGGATATAGATGGACAGGATGTGCAGGATGTTTATCCCTGCCTGTTAAAACAGGCACCTCTGCCAAGCAACACATTTTGCCCAATATTGTGACTTCTACCTATAGCTAAAACTCTCACATGATCTGGATCACTACTGAATCTTCTATGGATCGTTCCTTGGCATTAAATGCACCTCTGGTAAAAATGCCATTAAAATCCATCCATACCTTTCCAAGTTATCCTGTAAACAGACAACCTTGGCAGAGGCATCAATGTTCAGGTGTAACAGTTGGAAATGCTCCTAGACCAGGAGGGTGGAAACATAGACTTAACTCAGATAGAATTAGATTTTATGTGAAGCAACATCTGAGTCCTATTTTCATGAACTGCTATTGATTCAAACCAGCGGCGTAGGAAGCGGGGGGGACGGGGGGGACATGTCCCCCCCCAATATAAAAGCCAGGTGGATATGTCCCCCCCAAAAATTGTACCGCAAAATATTAGATTTTGACAATTTTTTAGCTATCGTGCTTTTATTTTGAAGGCGCAGCATAGCGTTACGTCACTGTACTCCCCCTCCCCTCTGTGAACTGCTGAGTGTTTGAGCACTCAGAGGGAAACAGCGATACAGAAAGTTAGAAACTTGTTAATGAGGTAAAATGGTCTGTCGGGAATGCTGCTATGAATATTGCTTATTTATAACGTCTTGTTGTCAGTTCACTTTCATATATAGAAACTGAATCTTTTTGGTTTAGGCATCTTAGTCTTGTAGGAAGAGGATTAGAGCCACTGAAAAAAGTTAACTGATTTTTAATTTTTTGTTTAGTTTAACATGGGGGGAAAAGTCAGAAAAGTCAGAATTCTGACTTTTCTCAGAATTCTGACTTTTTTCTTCTGACTTTTTTCTCAGATTTCTGACTTTAATCTCAGAATTCTGACTTTTTTCTCAGAAATCTGACAGATGATTAATATTTCTAATCAGTTTACAGTTTTTTTTGGTGGGGGGAGGGGGGACTATACAGATATATAAAAACAAGAAGGTCTACCTAAAAAATAACCAGAATATATGTTTAGAGTAAAGATTGACTACTTGTGTTTACACAAGCACACAATTTCAAATCTGCTGAGCTTGCTGTGCAAGAAAATGTAAAATATACGTATAAAGAAATATAACAGGAAGTACTGCTAAAACATAAACTAAATGTTAAATAATGTAGATATTGGTTTAAAAAATTCTTCAGATTTGGAAATTTGGAAGGAATACATAATTTTGAAATTAATCCACAAATCTGGTAAAAAAAAATAAAATAAATAAATAAATAAAAAAGTTGCACCTTTTTACTTGAGGAATTTGTTGAATAACTTCATAATTATGAGTTTAACTAGTTGGAGGTAATGCTACACTTCTCTGCTTCCTGTCCTGCTCATAAAAGGTAAACATTATAAACCCACCATTCATTTTCTACACTATTTGGAAAACACAACACAAATGTAATATAACAAAAGTATGTTTAACAACAAACATGTTAGCATCAAGCCATAGGCATGTCTATTTTAGAGACTAGCTCTCTTGTTTTAATGACCCTCTGCTCCTCCATTAATGAGGGGACCCCTCGGGCACGTAAAAAGTTGCCTAATTCTGTCATTTTCCACCAATGTGTCACTGGCCACCTCAAACAACTCACATCTTTGTCAGTGAAGCTGAGTGCTCCACATCTCTGCCTTCATGGTGCCCATCTACATTAAGATCCAAAATTCTGAGAAAAAAAGTCAGAATTCTGAGATTAAAGTCAGAATTCTGAGGAAAAAAAAGTCTTAATTCTGAAAATAAAAGTCAGAATTCTGAGATTAAAGTCAGAATTCTGAGGAAAAAAAAGTCTTAATTCTGAAAATAAAAGTCAGAATTCTGACTTTTTTCCCATATTAAACTGAAATAAAATGTAAAAATCACTTAATTTTTTTTTCTCCAGTGGCCCTAATCCTCTTCCGTAGTCTTGGGCTGATCACTCATCCGATATTTAACTGCTAACTTTCTCTAGACGTTTGCCACGCTAGCCAAAATGTTTTTTTTATATATATTTTTTTATATCTCATTTCAGTACAATGCCACCACCAACTAAAAGGCTGAAACAGCAGTAGGACTTACTCAGATTTTTTTTTAAAGAGAAACGTCAGTGTGAGTAACAGTCACCTAACACAACTTGTGTTGAAATTAGCCCGGTCTGGGCGTGCATTTTACGAGGATTTTTTATTTTTTGCATGGTTTTGATTCCCCCGAAATGGACAGATGTTATACCTGCCGCGCTCCTGATCGTTAGTTAACCACAGGGAGAATTAATTCTAATTCTTAGCAGCGGCGGCCGCATTGGTTGTGCAACCACTAATTAACCAACTAATTAACTTCTGCACCTTTATTTCCTCAAACTGCTGGCTCCTCTTTTTAGACTATAAACAGATTAACACAACATTGACAACTCTGTAGTTTTCTCTGTTCTGTACTGCAAATTGGAATTAAAGACGCCATTTCTACCAAAGGTCTGGACAGACTGGCCACCTGTCTAGAGTGTACCCCGCACCAGCACCTCCCGACCCCACTAAGGGACAGGGTGTACAGAAAATGGAAGGATAGATGGATTTCTACCAAAGGTTCAGAATGCGTTTTTGAACCAGATGCTTCAAAGCGCCCTGTCCATAATTCTTCACCACACTGTCAGCTCCCTCTGTCAGTCAACCTATATAAATTCATTTTTGACCATTATTGCAAGTTTGACAAAATAAAACACATCAAACTTTGCACTTGTGTGGCCTACTGAATTGTTTTGATTTTCTAGTGCATATGCGGACACTAAATATGCCAAGGGCTGAAGCCCTTGAAAGACATCTCCCTTTGCTTAATAAAAGACTCCAGTCATTTTGTTTGGTGATATGCTCACATCTTATGAACAAATGCATTATGTACATTTTAAATGCATTATTTTTGCAAACACATTTATAAAGGAATAAAGTAAAAGATTAAATAGCCTTTTTTTTAAGTAGCGTACTTAAGATATGTTTCTGTTGAATATTTACGAATCTCAGCTTTCCGACATGTGTCCCCCCCAATTGTAAACATATTCCTACGCCCTTGATTCAAACATACTATTATTGTTAAATGAATGGAGAAGTACGCTGAAGAAAAGCTGGAGTGAGACGTTTAAAGTTCTTTGGGGGGGGGGGGGGGTATTGGGGGAATATTCAGACACTAGAGCAGTTGTCGAGACACTCCCATCACTTTTCTACTTTGTGAATTTTCAGTTTTTCCCTCTGCCTGGATCCAGTGTTGTTCATTTACACTTTGTTTGAATAAGTTTGAATAAGTGTTAAACTGGGGATATGATGGACAGTCAATCTGTAGTAGAATGGGAGGCAGATCTTTTAGTTATCAGGCTCCTCTCCTGTGGAACCAACTACCAGTTTTAGTCGGTGAGGCAGACACCCTGTCTACTTTTAAGGCTAGGCTTAAAACTTTCCTTTTTGATAAAGCTTCTAGTTAGAGTGGCTCAGGTTATCCTGAGCTATCTCTATAGTTCTGCTGCTATAGGCTTAGACTGCTTGAGGACATAGGGACCCCTTTTTCATCATTCTGCTTCATTCTATCTCTATTCTCCCACTCTGCAGAATCTGTTAGTTCAATCTCTAACGTTCTGCTCTCTCTGCTTTTCCTCATAGTAGCTTCATCTGGTCTGTTCCTGTTTAGCTGTGACTCCATCCTGGAGAGAAATATCAGCTGTGCTGCTGCCATCAACACCTTTGTTTCTAGATGTTGGAGCTTGGCCTGTTTTCCAGTGTAGTCCTGTTTCTCTGACTGTGACTAACTGGATGTGCTCTCTTCATCCTCTGACATGGGAGCTGGCTCGGAGCTCGTCTGCCTGGCTGTGTGTTTCCTGGACGGGGCCGCCTGTGGAGCTGGTTGACAGTTGCCTTTTGCATCTATGCTTCTTTTTCTATGTCTGCTTCTGTCTCCTTGAACCCCAGTGGGCCTCAGCAGATGGCCGCTCACACTGAGCCTGGTTCTGCTGGAGGTTTCTTCCTGTTAAAAGCATGCTTAGTGTGACGGATTTCTTAAGAGTCACTGAATCAATGCAATCAACAGATTTTCTTTTGATATAAAACCAGCTGAACCAATCAGAACCAGTCTGACCGGATGATCTTGTTGAACTGTCTTTGTAAAGTACCTTTAGATGACATGATGTGAATTTGCGTTATAGAAATAATCTGAACAGAGTTTTCTTGCTGTTTTCTTTACCTCCCACTCCCAGCCAGATAACTGCCTGCCTTTTATGTGTTAGTTATGTGATTAGTCGTGTCAGTCTGCAGGCTGAGCCGGTCCAAAAGGTGTGTCACTATGAGAGGCGGTTAAAACTGCAAGCGTTCATGTCTTGAGCTGAATCGAAACGCAGCCTGGTCAAACTGATGAAAAAAACAAGGGTAGAAACCCTATTTTTTAGAGGATTGTTTCTGTCTGTTACCCTCAGAACAGGCTGACATTGAAGCCGACTCTTAGTTTATTACAAAATGTTTTGACACCTTTCCGTGTGTCGGCGGGCTAAATGCTGGAGCAGTTGTGAATCTGACCCTGAATGTTTTCTTTGTTCTTTGTTTCACTGTAGCTTTGGCTTCCAGATGGAACAGAATCCCCACAAGTTCCACAGCCAACTGAGTTACAGAGGCCTCTGGAGAAGAAGATCGATTCTGAGCTGATGCTGGAGCCCTCAATCAGGCAGACAGGCGAACAGGGGAAGCAAACACCTTTCAGTTCTCCTCCGCCTACACTGACACCTGTATCAGGTAAATGGCTTCATAATCAATGGGATCATAACCAGTTACATGCTGCCAGAGGTTAATGAAGATTAACAGAAGTGTATTGCATCATAGGAAGTGCACCCATGACACTTCCATGGCAGGATAAACCTGACAGGTAATGGTAGGTGGTAATGCACAAGCCCATTTCTCCTCGTGCACACTGTGTTTAAAAGTTGCTGCTTGCATCGCTCATACAAGCTTACTTTCTAAAAGAAGATTCTAAATTTTTCCACTATGTCAGACTGAAAATGCAAGCATGTAGGACAGCCTTACATAAACATATCACCAGAATGCTCTGATCTTTATGTTGGAGAAACTAGTCAACCTCTCCACAGACGCATTGCCCAACACAGAAGAACGACCTCCTCTGGACAAGACTCTGCACTACATCTTCACTAGGTATTCCCATAGTCGGTCCTCGAGGTCCACTGTCTTGCAGGTTTTAAAGGTTTCCCTGCTTCTGTACAGCTGATTTTCTTTAATTGCTGATTAACAGGCTTTTGCTGAACTGCAATCCTCAGAATCAGCTGTGCTAAAGCAGGGAAACCTCTAAAACCTGCAGGACAGCCGCCCTCAAGGACCGACTTTGGAGATGCCTGATCTACACCTTATGGACAATCGACATTCTTTTAAGGAGCAGGATGTTCACATTTTGGACAAAGAAGACAGGTGGTTTGAGAGGGGCGTGAAGGAAGCCATCTATGTTAAAGGGGAACGCTGTTTTTCTTTTTACATTGGGTCCTTGATTTTACATTATTCCATCATGTTCTACTCACCCAAATGAGTTTAGTGTCATTTGGAGCCGTTCTGAAGATATTCCGTTAGGTTATATCCAAGTAACGTCTTCCTATGGGCAACGACTTGAAGGCACAAACTAAATTTATTCTTTATGACAGATATACAACTATTCATACAAATTTAGATAGGATGATTAAAAGGTGAAGCCACTCAGAGGTTAAGATTGTTCATGATTGTTGCTGCATTGAAATGAACACTTCATGAAGGTCTTGAAGTAAAACATGTTCAGTTTGGATATAATTTGGTGAGTCAACCATTGGCCACGCCACACTCGCTGAACCATTGTTGTTGGAAGTAGTGATGGGTTGATGAGGCGTCATGAAACGTTTCGACACATTACCAAACTGTATTGATACTGTGTCGATACTGTGTCACTGAATACTGACACCTGCTGGACATAAAAAATCCCTACAGGCAACCTAGCTGACAGAGTTAACTGACACTGATTTGATGACCTATTATATACACTAACATGATGCAATTCATTGTATGATGCATTGTATTATTATTAAAACATATTTGATATTTTAGACACAGTCAATGAATAATGAGAACCTGCATCATAATGTAATAATCTCTAAGTAAACATGTAAATGAAGATGCTTGTTCACTGGTATTTTTTTTTACAAATTTTTATAAAAAAAAATAAGTTGTTGCAACGTTTTGAAATTCAGTCTGTTGCGCTTTTTTTATATTAGTTCTCCAGCTGTGGAAAACACCCGCTCACATGGCACAGATAAAGCTGGAGAGCACAAAAATTTTAAGGCCAGGCGGAAGAGGTTTGGATAAACCGTCCTTTGGTTTTTCCAATATACAAGAGGATCCTGGGACCTCGCAATATTGCCCTCTGCCATGTATCTCTGCACCTCAAGGATGGCATCAGCTGTGGCACTTTTGGTCTGCCTCCCCACTTCGAGATCAAAATGTTCCCAAAGGTCATCTTAAAAAAAAAATAGTATTTTAGTACATGAATCAAGTGGAAACTCTGAGAGGAACAGGATGAAACAAGGAAATTAAAACAAATACCTTATTTTCCGAAATGACATCAAAGTGGTCCCACACGGCAGAAATCTCTCTTTTTGCTTGAGGAAGCTCCATAATTTTTGATGAATTTTATATTCGCAGAAAAAAAGCAAGATTGTTTTGGCAGATGCGCTTCCTTATAAATTCCTTGTCAATCAGTTCGAAACATCGGTCACGTGACCGATACAGGAACTGTTTCGGTCACGTGACTTTTCCGTAGCGATAAACACGTCGACACAGGTTTCGCTCTATGAGACCGACACATGCGCCGACGCATCGGTTTTGCCCGACCCATCACTAGTTGGAAGCGTGTCTGTGACAAAGTCACACCTTTACAAACCTGATATCCAGCTCTACATCTGCAAACTGAAGAGCTGGAAAGTTAATCACCTGTAGAAAAAATAAGCTCCCTTTTCAAAATGACAGACCGCTAAACGGAACGGTTGTCAACAACGGTTCCGGGTTTCATGAAAAAGACCAAGAATCGACAAAGGCCATTTATCAATACGTGTACCTGTGCGTTCTCGTGTATTCATGAAACGCCATGAGCCTCAGCCCTAGTACTGTTCCAATTCAGAAGAACAAGAAGACCGAGAACGGACAAAGTCCCCGGATGTTGTTCTGGGTCCTCCCTCTTTACCCAGCATGCATCAGAGCAGACTTCAGCAGCTTCCAGGTTAGCGCTCACAGAGCTCAGAGGATTAAGTTAAAGATTCTCTTTTCTGTTGCTGCTTTTGTTCAATAAATGTCACAAGCTCAGAACATGGAACCCAGAATCCAGGTGAAACAGAACAGCAGGAGCAGGCTGTGGATCCGCGGCTACAGTGGCTAGGGCGTCTTTGACTAAGCTCTGTAGGACAGAGACATAGATTAGTGACTGCGATAATCAGACGGAGGATGATTATGTACGGGCAAGTCAGTCACCTGGTTTAGCATTTCGGTCCATTGTCTAAAGAACGGGGATGGTTCCAGCCGGTCGACTGCAGGAGACTCGAGACAGACAGCCAAACCTAAAAAGACTGGGGGTAGGCAGGCTCACAGCTCCAAAGGCAAAAATCAGGTCAGGATGTCCAGATTTGGTTTTAAGGTTTTTGTTTGGACCCAAAAGCAGAAGCTGAGAGGCAGGGGTGAGATCTTGGCAGGTTTAATGAAAAATCAGGCAGCAAAAACAAGAATCCAAAAATCCAACTTAAAAATGTAAAACAAAACAGAAATCCAGAAAACCAACATAAGAATTGAACACCAACCAGGACCAAGGAAACATCAGGGGAAAAAGTCATGAGGAGCCAGGGTAGGATGAAATAAGGCGAGGAACCAGCAAAGAGGGACTGCAGAGGGAGTGTATTTATGGCTGACTGAACAAAGGTAGGACTAATGAGCTGATAGGGAGCAGGTGTGACTAGAGCTGATGAGGAAGCCAAGGGAAAAGAACACAAGGGGGCAACAGAGGACAGACAGAAAAACCTAAGCAACTTAAATGAATCCAGACACCAATAAAGCTAGAAAACAAGGAAAGACCTGGATGAACTTTAAACTGAAAACTTAAAGAAAAACAACAGAACCAAGATCGTTACACAGGATCAGATAATCAGAACACTATGTACGCAAGACAACTTTACCAAAGGCTCACGATTAATCTGGTGCCATTGGCTGGGAAACAGGGAGCTTAAGTGGTAACCGGAACAGGTGGATCTGATGAGGAAGAGGGCAGAGCTAGACAGGTGAAGGAAAAGAGCAATCAAGCCAGTGATCAGAGCCAAAATCATGACAATAAAAGTATGTTTTCAGATCAATTAGGCGAGAGCATTATACTTTAAGCTTCACCATGTGGACCATTTACTGATTTAAGGCGTAATTTAAAATAAGAGCTCCAGTGTTGGAGGAGGCAACCAGCAGAGCTCCGAGGCTAACCACAGCCAGGGCTAACGTTAGCCCGTCTGCAACGGCCAGGGCTAACGTTAGCCCATCGTGTGTGAAGTACTGCTGGCTGTCATGGAGGTTTGATTGTTTTCATCCATCCATCCATTCTCTGACACGATTATCCCAAGTGGGGTCGCGAGGGGTGCTGGTGCCTATCTCCAGCAGTCAATGGGTGAGAGGCGGGATCCACCCTGGACAGGTCGCCAGTCCATCGCAGGGCACCACAGAGACAAACAGGACAAACAACCATTCACACTCACACCTTAGGTGTATTTAGAGAAGCCAGTTAGCCTAACCGTCATTTTTTTGGACTGTGGGAGGAAGCCTGGAGAGAACCCACACATGCTCAGGGAGAACATGCAAACTCCATGCAGAACGACTCCGGGCCGGGAATCGAACCCAGAACCTTCTTGCTGCAAGGCAGCAGTGCTACCCACTGCCCGGTTGATTGTTTTATTTGGCAAAATGTTAATTTGATTTGTTTTTATCTGACTGTTAATCATTATTTTCATCATTCCCAAAAATGAATTAAGTCAGAATTTAGTGATTAAAGTGAATAAACTTTAATAAACGTGTTGAAATTGATAAGATGAATGATCCAGACCATATTTTATGAAACTGAACGGTCGTCCAGCAGAGCAGAAGCATCCTGTCCCGTTGGAACACCAAACATTTCTCCAGAAGTTCCTGATTTCTCCTCCTACAGTCTTAATACACGTGGTACCTGATCTTTAAGATTCCAAAGAACCAGCTCTCAATGGTTAACTGGTGCCAGACCAGTTTGGACTGCCCTATTGGAATTAGGAAGCTTTGTGTGCTATTGGCTAATTGTGGCTAATTGTGGGAACAGGATGGCTGTAAAGAACATGAAGGTCCCAGCAATACGGTTAAAGAAAATATAGTTGAAGTAATATTAATATTAATGAACATTATTTACAGTTCAATTAGTAGTTTGTCAGCGCTTCACACAAAAGTACAAAGATAAAGATGCAAATAATAAATGTTAAAGTTAAAGATTAAATATTGGTTATAAAATCTGGAGATGCTAACTTTGTGACTCTTGGTTCAATATTAAAGTTTTCTCAATATTAACTATTTTTGCTTAGTTTAATTTAATTATAGATGTTTTTGATTGGCTGCAAATTTACAAACATCCACTGTGAAATATGTGATGAATGCTACTGTACGAGCTAACTGTATGTAGCAACATAATCAGACTCCTGCTCTGATTGTAAGTGAAATGATAAACTAACATCCTTAGAGGAATCTTACAGAAATCAACCTTTTCTTGGTGACCTGCCACATCGATGCATGGAATGATGGTGATGATCCTTCTTCTTCATCTTCCAGGTCAGGGCTGCAGCCAGCCTCTTGAACCCGGTCCATGTCGACAGTACACAGTCAGGTGGTACTACGACCCAGAGGCCAACGCCTGCGCCCAGTTTTGGTTCGGAGGTTGCCACGGCAATGCAAACAACTTTGAGAATGAAGTGAACTGTAGGAATGCCTGCGTCTACACGTAGCCGATCGGCTGCAGGGAGGCTGGGCCTGCTGCCAATCAGATTCCTTCAGGGCTGATAAGAGGACAACACCTGCAGCATTTAATCTGTTTTAATCACTTGATTTACAGTTTAAAATGTGGAATGACAGGTTCCACACTTGATACGCCCCCATAGATCATAACCAGATCATTTAATGCTCTTCAGTTTGGTCCTAAAGTTAAACCAGTAACGGCACCGAGTTAAACCGCCTCAGTTGGTCATGAGGAATTATACGGAATCCAGATTTAATTTCATTTCACAAATGCAGGACTAGTTTTCTCAGGAATATATTATATAAAAAGATCAATCTAAGTCTAGTTTGAGTGTAACTAATGTAAGTATAAATATATCTGGTTTGTTTTTATATCAAAGCAACATTAAAATAAACATAAAAATCTTAAACATATATGATCCATAAGAGTTCTTTAAAGTTATTGTTTACTGTTAAGTATTTGTCAAAAAATGATACCTGTAGCACAGATACTAACATTTCTGATCTAATTCACGGCAAACATCAAACGGTGTCAGAGATTCCCTGGGGAAGACGCACAGTGTGACATCTGCTTTACTTTTCACCACTCCACTCTGATCAGAAGCCTAATAACAAGCTTTAACTGCGTTCAATCCATTAATGGCGGGGATGTTTATGACAAACGAGTTGAACTCTGATAATCAGGTGCCGCTATCCTGCAACTTTTAGATATATGTCTGAATCAAACGGCTGATTTACCCTCTCATCATGCATCATGTTCAACTAATAGCCCGATTATTTGCACTGTCCACGGCGCAGTGGGACATGAGTTTATCCCATATCCAGCTTTATGGCATGTTTAGGTTTTGTAGGAATGTGCCAGGAAAAATATTACGCATTAGCTTAAACCAATTACCGTCAATGGTGGTGGCAGCATCATGCTGGGGTTGACTGGAAGAACATGGAGATGAATCCAGGAAAATCTTGAAAATAAACCTTGCAGAAACTGCAGAGCACTTGGAACTAGGATGGAGATGAACTCTCCAGCAGGATCACCACCCTAAACATCCATCTACAGCAGGACCGGCAAACCAAGCTGCTCTGCTTTGAGGGGAAAATGGCCGAAAGTTCCCATCCCTGCATCAAAGCGCTACCTGTTGGATCTATGAACGGTTTTCTATGCTTCAACCAAACTAGCAGCAGTAGTTTGGAGATGCAGTCTACTTCCTAAATCCATCTTTGCTCTCCTCTAATTTATCCAGAAGTTCTTCAGTCGCTCTTTTTCTCTCCCTCCCAGCTTGGTGGTGGGCTGCAGATTTAGCCTTCCCTGGAAATGCCTTTCCTAATGACACCATTAAGATGTTTAACAATATAGATGTTAGACATCGTTGGAAAGCTTATTTTCTCCACAATTCAACCACTACATTCATTGTATGGACACGGTGAACACCAAAGCACAATCAACACAGATATAGCAGCATGTCAAAAATAAATCCAATCTTCAATTGTTTATACTCCCTGCCTGTCAGCCAGTAGATCGCACAGAGTAGAGCGATATTACGCCTCATAGAGTCCTGCTGTTATTGGTTGAGACCATGTGGGCTGTTTGGCTTGTAGCCAATAAAATAAGGTTTCCAACAAGGCTAAACATGGCTGGGTTATATAAAGCAGAGCCATTTTACTGGATGCTGTAAGAGTGAAACACACAGCTGAGAGTGCATCAAAGTGAGCTGCTCCAAGCCCAATAATAACAACGGTCCCATTTTTTTTAAGTTCGGATGCTTATTTTGTTTTATTACAATTACTAAGGTCAAAAAAACTAAATACAGCTCAGAAAAGGCACTGAGGCTTATTCTAACTTGAAAAGCAGCAGCTTCACTTTTTTATTCATAGATTTTTATGTTAGTTAGGTTGATAAATGTTACATTTTGTTATATACACTGATTCTGTAAAAAGTGGAAATACTTAATAAATGTTTTGCTGTCATCAAAATGCTTCAGTGTTATTTTATGGCTCAAATAGGGAAGCAAAGTGTAGTAAAAGCATTTGCCACAATTTGGCACAATTGGAGAGATTTGGAGACGCTGGTGACATCAAAAGTTCAAAGCCCCACATCTCTGGAACTGTTCTAGCTAGAGGTCTGGACTTTTCTCCCATTTTATCCCTGAATGTGTACATTTCTATTATACATCAACAGCAATGGCAATAATATTACCCTTTCAACATCTGGCAGGCTGTTGGTTACGGATAGTCTGACCAAATTACGGTGGCCTAGAGGGCACAAGCCATTTCATTTTCCACCTCAGTGGCGCAGCCAGCAGAGCAGGTGACGGTGATCTGAACAACATCACGGCCAAACGGCAAAGACAGCACAATCTGAGGGAACGTGAAAAAAAGGAGGGGGGGGGAATCATTGGCAGGTTCTAAGTTGCAGAGATCTCCCTCCCCTGCTTAGTTTGAGAAATAATGACTTTACAATTATGCAAGTTTCTCCACATAATCATACCTGTTCTCCATGATTGTGGTATGAATTTCATAAGTCTGGGACAATAAATGTGAAAATAAGGAGGAGAGGGAATCATTGGCAGGTTCCAGGTTCTAAGTTTAACAAATAAAATGTCAGAAATGACCAAGAATGGAGCTGAGAGCAAAATGGGGAATCAGCATCAGCTGAGCAGAGAATTTATTCATCCACACTGACTGAAGCACATCGACAGAAATGTGTCTCCATATAAGAAAAATCCTATTAAATCAAATTTATCTGTCCACCAAAACTATCAGTTTTAAGGCATCCATGTATAAGAAATATGAAAACATTAAGAATGTTTAAATAATTCAATCCGTTTTGTCATCAGTGGGCGTGAGTTTAGGGCGATGCGCGCTCCCGCCACAGGGGAGGTCATTCTGGACACGACGGATTAAACCTGGGGCAGAGAATCGAATCTGGGGCCCTAGGCAAAGACAGGCAAGGGCCCCTCTGAATTGAGACGACAACTCATAAAACAGACCCATTAAAGCGATACAGACATTTTATTAGAATAGACAAACATTATTTACTGAATTTTGACTGCCCTTAATGATGCTTCATATTTTTATATTATGTCTACAGAAAAATAACAATTTAAGATATCTAATATCACATTTTGGAGAGCCATCTGATTTGTCATTTAACGTGTCACACATACGGAATTACAATCAAGATATTTCAGTTAATTTGAACTAGTCAAAACTATAGATTTTTTATATCTGAATTATAAAATATCCTCCTAGCGTGTCACTGAGCTGTCCTAACAGCTGCCTGGAGAATTTTGCGTGGCTGCAATGGTGCTGGCTCTTCTGGACAAAGTTGTTTCAAAATGCAACAATATAGAAAGACCTGAGCAGTATGGGATGTGTGGAGGACAGGAACTTTAACTCTACGTCTGCTTCAGAAATCTGTCATAAATAGTTGCAGGGAAGTTAGTTTGATGTTGGATATTCAAGCTCTGCTGAGTTAGCGGCACCTCTCACCGTCGATCTCATTCAGTAGCTCAGACTATGGGCCGGATCTATCAAAGGTTTGCGTGTATAAAAACGTGAGCTATTTCACTGCGCACGCTAAAAAATGTACAAACTGATCTATCAACAGCGTGCTAAAAGGATTTGGTTTTTAAAACGTGCTAAATAGCGCCTCTTATCCATTTAGTACAATCATCAAAACATGTCGTTTATCCAGCATTGCCATTTTGTAGCTGTTGGGGGAACTCTGAATGGATTTGGAGCCAGCCACAAGGAGGATCCACGCAATACCAGATATCACAAAACTCCTTGCAACGTTGGACTTTTTTGCATCTGGGTCATTCCAGCGTACGGTTGCAGCGAGAGCTGGGATCTCCCAATCTCGTTTTTCAGAAGTGCTGTCCGAAGTGCTGTCCGACGGGGTCGGGGTTCTCCCCCTGCCCCTGTGGAGCAACATGCCAATGCTGCGGGGATCTCATCCACAGTCACTTCTTGTGAGCCATTTGGTATGTGCATTTTTCTACAGGCCAATACAAAACACCTGTTTTTTTTGTTTTGTTTTTTTTGTTTTTTTTTTTACTGCAGTGAAGTAGAAATTCAGCCACATACCACCTTAGGGAATAAAGTTTTTTCTTTATATATATATATATATATATATATATATATATATATATATATATATATATATATATATATATATATATATATATATATATATATATATATATATATATATATATATATACCGGCCACTTTATTAGGTACACCTGTCCAACTGCTCGTTAACACTTAATTTCTAAGCAGTCAATCACATGGCAGCAACTCAGTGCATTTAGGCATGTAGACATGGTCAAGAGAATCTCTTGCAGTTCAAACCGAGCATCAGTATGGGGAAGAAAGGTGATTTGAGTGACTTTGAAGGTGGCATGATTGTTGGTGCCAGAAGGGCTGGTCTGAGTATTTCAGAAACTGCTGATCTACTGGGATTTTCACGCACAACCATCTCTAGGGTTTACAGAGAATGGTCCGAAAAAGAAAAAACATCCAGTGAGCGGCAGTTCTGTGGGCGGAAATGCCTTGTTGATGCCAGAGGTCAGAGGAGAATGGCCAGACTGGTTTGAGCTGCAGAAGGGCAACAGTGACTCAAATAACCACCCGTTACAACCAAGGTGGGCAGAAGAGCATCTCTGAACGCACAGTACGTGGAACTTTGAGGCAGATGGGCTACAGCAGCAGAAGACCACACCGGGTGCCACTCCTTTCAGCTAAGAACAGGAAACTGAGGCTACAATTTGCACAAGCTCATTGAAATTGGACAATAGAAGATTGGAAAAACGTTGCCTGGTCTGATGAGTCTCGATTTCTGCTGCGACATTCGGATGGTAGGGTCAGAATTTGGCGTCTACAACATGAAAGCATGGATCCATCCTGCCTTGTATCAACGGTTCAGGCTGGTGGTGGTGGTGTCATGGTGTGGGGAATATTTTCTTGGCACTCTTTGGGCCCCTTGGTACCAATTGAGCATCGTTGCAACGCCACAGCCTACCTGAGTATTGTTGCTGACCATGTCCATCCCTTTATGACCACAATGTACCCAACTTCTGATGGCTACTTTCAGCAGGATAATGCGCCATGTCATAAAGCTGGAATCATCTCAGACTGGTTTCTTGAACATGACAATGAGTTCACTGTACTCAAATGGCCTCCACAGTCACCAGATCTCAATCCAATAGAGCATCTTTGGGATGTGGTGGAACGGGAGATTCGCATCATGGATGTGCAGCCGACAAATCTGCGGCAACTGTGTGATGCCATCATGTCAATATGGACCAAACTCCCTGAGGAATGCTTCCAGCACCTTGTTGAATCTATGCCACCAAGAATTGAGGCAGTTCTGAAGGCAAAAGGGGGTCCAACCTGTTACTAGCATGGG